GTGCGAACCGGGGAGGAAGCTCAGGCACCCGTTCTCGAGCGTCGCGTCCTCGAGGGCGTACCAGAAGCCCACGGCGGACGGCGGATCCGTGTACAAAAAGGTAGAGTCCTGGTGCGGGGGCACGGCGCCGCCAATCTCGGGTTGCTTGCAGATAATCATGCTTTGCAGGCACCGCGGGTCCCGGAACCCGAGGCTGCGGGCCACGGCGGCCGGCTTACCGCGGACGGGGCCGCTCCCAGCACCGCCGGTAGCAGAAGACGCAGGGTCCGAGATAGCGGCAAAGGGCGGGGAGAGGACATGCAGGTAGTGGCCAATCTTGTTGATGGCACGGGCCTTGGGTTTCACGAGGTTGCCCTCGTCGTCAAAGGCGTCCTCCTCGAAGAAGAAGCGGACCTTGTCGCCCGAGGAGAGGAAGTAGTCGTCACCGACGTGGTCCGCCTTCTCGCCGGTGGAGAAGCGTGTCATGGGGTGGTCGGCGAGGGAGAAGTTGTCCAGCAGGGAGTGGGTCTCGGCGAGGAGGCCGGAGACCGTCTCCGGGGATAGGGCGCCGGGGATGATGAGGTAGCCGTCGCGGTGGAAAGATTCGAGCTGCTCCGGGGTGAGACCCTCGTCTTGTGCGGGGACGGTCATGGTGATGAGTCGTGTATAGGGTGATAAGAAAGCGGGGTCAAGCTCGGATCGAGAGATTTGAGAAGATTGAAACTATTCTGATGTTTCTGGGCGGGAATGCTTGAGAGAGATCAGTTGTTTCCTGTGAGGTTTGACAAACTCGCATGGGCTCATTTGAGTTTCGCAGTGGCGCACCGTTTGATATTGGGCGGGAGAGATGGGTATGTGGATGCGGGGATGCGGCGGGTCCCGAATTCATTAGCCCGCGCTTATCAACATCGCCTCACTGCGTCACCTTTTGATATTCGGCACAACTTTGCAATCCAGCAGAAGGTAAAAGTCGTGTATTCTGTGTTGTATACCTAGATTATATGGCGCATATACCAGACGCACCACTCTCGTCACATCATCTCAAGCCGCTTCAAATAATCAAGTATGAAAACTCCATCATCATGTAAGCTAATGGGAAGAAAACAAGATAAAACACATGCACCCCCTTGAAAGCAAATGAAGACGCCGGTTTTCTGTATGCGCGACGATTCGAAAGCTGATTCTAAGCCCAATCTTGGGTTGTTGGACATGCCGATCACGGCATGGGGTCGTTGAGGAACTCGTAGCCTTCCTCTGGCGGAAGCACAAAGGCGGAAATGGCCAAGCCAGCGGCACACAGAATCGAGATTGAAGCGCTCACGGTACACAAGATCCAGGAGGAATCCAGCCCCCAGCCAGGAACCTGGAACTGCTCGTCGTTGTCGTAAAGGTATGCCTGTGAGGAAGGTCGCGATATTTAGCATTGCTCTCCTGTCCGGCGCATTCAGTAGGCCACTTACCACGATACCCATCAGCGTGAACTCGATGGCCGCGACAAACACGAGGAGCCCGCCAAGAACTGTCCAGCCTGTTTCTCGCTTGTATTTGCCGCCGCCCATAATGACAAGGAACGTGACGATGGACGCCAGATGCAGAATAGTCGAGAAGGAGGCGAGGAAGCCGACAGAGCGCCACATGGAACAGAAGTATCGTTCGCCATTTGCACACAGCTCCTCGGTCGGAAACACCTGGCAAGGCTCGTCGAATCCAGTGGAACAAGACCGATGGAGACCGATGTGCTTTGAGTATTCTTTGCCCTCGGCGGTCGTCACGGTGTAGGTGACCCAGTGGGGAAGCGTAATAGACGCAATAATCATCGCCGTCGCTAGAACGTGAAAGTCAGCATCGTCCGCAGCATTTTGACCATATTTTGGAAGCATTTGTTATCGTTTCTCCCCTCCATTCTGCTGTAGCTGCGTGTCGTCGCAGGCCTCCGAGCTGAGGTGCGCTCACAAAAACACCGATGACGATGCTGGGTGGATCCCTCTGCTTTTGGGTTCTGGGTGGGCGCAAGGCAAAGATGCAACTTACCAGCGACAAAGGCCACGAGGGCGGCGCTGTAGACGGAGACTCGTGTCATCTTTGCGAATCGACAGCTGTATAGAAACAGGTCACTGTAGAGTGTAGCAAGGTCGTTGTTGTCTTCTTTTCCCTCCTTTCTGCCTGGGAAGAAAAGAAGATGGGTGAGGCAAGAATTGCAGATGGCCAAATTGCCTTGGAAGGAACAACTGGATCTGGGATGGGAAAGCTGGGGGGGTTGTCTATCAGCGATTGGTGGTGGCCAGACCGGTCGTCGTTATGACGCTACTTGCCTGATTCGGGAAGCTGTGGGCAAGGACGCGCGAGGTGTGGTGGGCTTGCAACACCGGTTACGTAGGAAAGGTACATCAGTCACCACACAATATGGTGCAAATCAAAGGTACCTTTCCGCAACAGCAGGAAAACAGCTACAGGCAGTTGCAGCTAAGAGTTGCAGCGAACATGCATGTCGCGGGGGCACCTGCCACAACCATCCCGCTCTCGTCTCTCTCTCTCCCATCCCATCCCATCTCCATCTTGCGGTGCTTCACTGCCACTGCCACTGCCAACCGCTTGCTGCTGCGGCCGTCACCTCTCATCTCACAGATCAACAACTGCCCGCTTCCCACTACTGCAACCGCCGTGTTTATGACCAGCAAAGATCCCACTGCCTGGGTGCCATCGCTGGCTTAGTGTTGACCCCAAATTGTTAGAGATGAACAAAGCACCATCTCATCTTGCTTTCCCTCACCTTAGCGACACCTTGGTCTTCACCGCTCGATCCTGCACGGATCGCCGTCTGATGGAAGCTCAAGCTATCGCTCTATGGTGCAGTCCAGCTTCGTCGCAGCCTACCGTGCCTACCTACCCTCTTTCCCACCAGCAACTCCGGGGAGAACACGCTGTCAGGAAGACAGATGCGCCCGTGAGTCATTATCCAGATGTCGTTGGATTCAAAGGTTCAGAAGAAATAATCCGGACGACGAAATTGAGGCAATGTGGCCTTCTTATTCGACTGCCTAAACCAACCAGGCCTGCCGTGCTAACCGCCTGCGAAACCCCAGCTCTGTCAGACAGTCAGACAGCAAAACAGCCATGCAGTCAGACATCTGGATCGTGGGGGTTGGGGGAGTAATAAACACTAAGACCGTTATCTGCACCCGCTCTCGAAGTCATGCATGTCCAGACCGATCTGCAAAGCCGACTCCTAGCACCAGGAAAGAACTAATGCGTTCGCTGGTTGGCATGAAATTGGAACTACTGCGAAAGTCGGCCCCGGACTTACCCATCTACCGTCTTTCCATCAACTCCAGCCCAGCCTCAAAGAATAATTCACCCCGCTCCCACCATGACGGAGCCCTGCCTCAAAGCTGCCTTGGCACGATACGCCTAGCTTGTCTGCATTGTGCAAGCACCAGAAATTGAGTCTACGCCAGATCGCCGATCGTCGTCGAATGCCAGACACCCGAGAACTCAAATCAGATTATCAACCCCCTTTGTCAACACCGCTTGTCCCCATCGGAAATTCTACGACATGGTGCAGGTTATCGATACCTACTGGGAAATGTAGCCTTTCCTGTTTCCGGTACCTACATACGTGGACAGCGCGAGTTGCCGGCCGTTATCACAGCCTCCACGTGCTGGCGTGCCCTGTTGGCCGCTGACCTCACCTCGGTGAGTCCGTATGTGTTTGGGCCACACGATATCTCCGGCTTACTAGCCCGGGGTACATTTCGAAGGTGCCCGTGCCGCGAGGAAGCATGGGCACTGAGCCTCAGGGCCACGATGACAGCCGCGCCAAGCTGCATAATCGCAAGGAATCGAGCATTGTGAAAGTGACTACTGCGCTCCTCTGGGCTTGATTGACTCAAGGGACTCTTTGTCGAATATTCTTACAGCACAGCATGATACTTGCAACCCCTAAGATACCCAAGACGGCATGGTCCGTCCGGGATCAACTTTCCCTGGCCATGCGCATACCTGATGCTGCTCTATGGTTGGCTCTGGAGCCATTTGCACCAGTGATCATTGTTCATTCTTGTACCAATCCTCAACTGCCGCACACTCAGATTTGGAGAACCGTGTTGCTTTTGGGCACCTTGATTGGCTAAATGCTGTCTCTCAAACAATTCTCCAGTCTTCTCAGAGAACACGCTGATTACCAGCAACAGCAACGTTGGGCTGATGATGTACGCGCCTGGAGAAAGACTTTGTGTCGCAAATCACAAACTGAGAGCTGAGAATTCTGCAATTGCAGAGTCACGGCAACCTTCAAAAATCCTCTGCATCGAGAGCGGATCACTATTACTCCATCCATCAAGCGGAGACCGGGCCTTTTGCGGTCTTGTCAATTGCTCGGGGCCAGGGTGCTGGTTGTCAGTGCCCTGGGCGATCTGTTTACCCTAGGAAAAGTTCGACCGAAATCTCCGCAGAAATCCGATCTACGATCTCAACAACAGCAAAACGGCGTATTCTAGAATGTTTTGCGGCATGCAGCTGCAATAGCCAGCTGAAGCGGTCAAGCGGGAACTGACAACGTAAACTCTACTCGGAGCTTCATGTTAAGGGGGTGGTCGATTCTGGCATATGTCAAAAGCACGCATCATCGCGAGGCTAGGCCGCATCGATATCCAAAATCCATGCTTGAGAAACATCGAGGGATCATAGACTCGCGGAACCCCACCAGAAGGACCAGGCTCGGGTTGCTTGTGATGCCGACCTCCTATCGCGCTTGGGGCAAAGCCTCTTTATCGCCCGTATCTTTGTTCGGTCTGTCTGCTCTGACTCAATTGCCCGGAAGCGGTGGGAGCGCCATCTACGTCCACAGTCCTCATCCTATGGAAGAAGGCTTGTGTCGTCCCTGGCTAGCAAGCCTATTCTTCCCGGATCTGATTACCAACCCATGCCATCTCGGGAACCATTCACCGCGCTTCGTTCGATCACGCCAGAGGCAGGGCATGCAGAGCCATCCCTCCAAAGCGCGACATGCCGCACCAAAGATGGGTTTATCGGCCAGTCAAGGAACCGGATCGGGGCGAGCTACCCACAACGCCTGAAGCTAAGTCAAGGGTAGCCCCGAATGGAGGGGACAGCAATTAAGGTGAGTTTGGGAAGGTCACCTCGCTTCAGCGCAGGGTCCTCGGTCTCTCTACAATAACTTACGTAGTCCATTTTTGTTTTCTTCCTCTTTTACTCGACCGCGCGCTTCGGACAAAATCTCATAATCCCCCGAGCTGCGAATCCTGAACGTCATGGAGTTTTCTTACAACCTTGATCTCGACTCTTGCTGCTCCCCGCGACTCAATTTTAGGTGATTCAAGCCCAGCTTCGGTACTTTGCAAACGCAGAAGTGTCCATCACTTTTTGGACCCAGGAACTCGAAGCAAGAGCTTATCGCACAAAGCTGGTCCACGGCGGATACCCAGCCTACATTGATCGATAACGATAACGAGGTTGACGATTTGCTTGTTGAGCGACGACACAAATCTTTGCGTCCATACACGAAGCGCAATTAGTATTGGTACTTACCGCTCACGAAGAGGACATCGTATTATCAATATGGGTGATCAACGTCATCACATGGAGCACCGGCCGGTGCAAAACAGCGCGGTCTTCGTGCTCGGCGCAAATCACTGCGACTCAATGCCACCTCCCTCGCCTCCTTCACCACCAATCTCACCCCCAGAAGATGGCTTTTTGGAAGAATTGGAAGAACTCAGCCTCGGATCGCCTGACGACCTTCCCGAGAACGACGACAGCTCCGCCAAAATCCAGGATAGACTTCATGCCGCAACACACGTCCTCAAGACAGAAGCCGCAGCGTTGCGGTCAGTCGCCAACTTATACGAGACAGATCCCGTCGCTCGGGATGGCTTCAACAGAACAGTCGCGGCCATCACACGGCACAAGGGTGAGAAGGGAAAGCTCATCATCACCGGCGTCGGAAAGTCCGGTCACATTGCGAACAAGCTGGTTGCGACATTCAACAGCCTTTCACTCACATCCGTATTTCTGAACCCGATTGACGCGCTTCACGGCGATTTGGGTATTATCCAGAAACACGATATTCTTCTCTTCATCACATTCTCCGGAAAGACCTCCGAACTTTTCAGCCTATTACCACACTTGGACAAGCCGTCATCATTAGTCATCCTCACCGGACATACGAGGCCTGACACGTGCGAGCTTATCAAACTCCGACCGGATACGATCCTTCTCCCAGCACCAGTCCACGAAAGTGAGACATCGTCATTTGGTGTCTCGGCTCCGACAACGTCCACAACGGTCGCCTTGGCCGTCGGCGACGCGCTTGCCATCGCCGCGGCGCAGGAGCTGCACCCGAGCGTCGCACAGGTGTTCTCCAAGAACCATCCGGGTGGTGCCATTGGGGCCGCGTTCCGGAAACCTCAGACAATTCTGGACTTGTCCATTCCCTGGGTGGACATTGATGACTCGGAACACCTTTGCGTGGACAGCAGCGTCGGTGCAGACCTCTTCCGGGCTGCTTACGACTCGCCGTCAGGCTGGGTGCGTGTCGGCGACGCTGTAGCATCGCCGAGCCGCATCAGGAAGTTGGCAACGGTCGACTTCACACGGTCTCTGAGAGACATCCCGCATTTGTTGGTACCGAGGGCAGAGATGCTCTCCATCTCTTCCGGCACATCGATACGTCGTGCCGTGGACTTTGTGAGAAGCATGCAAGGCGCCGCGGACGATGGTGAGTACGTTTGTAATTCGGACTCTCTCCTGGCTGTTTTGGACCATGGCGACATGGTTGGCGTTTTGGAAGCTGGCAAGCTCTTGGAATGGAAAGATTGAGGCGCATTTGGATTTCACTGTAGGCATCTTGTATGCCCGTTCGGGATGAAATGTTCGGACCGGGTACGAATCTTTTCATCGTTTCACACCTGCCCATGCTGGAGATACGCGGGCGGAGCGTTCATTTAATCGGAGATCATCTGGGAGAATCATGTCAAGCCACTTGAAGTTGGCTTTACGACACTGTCTTTAGACGCTGGGAAACTGGATCAGGGCCAAAAATTTGAGTCCGCTGAGTGGCATGGCGACTATGCCCAACCTTTTGCGTTCCGAAGCTTTCTCTTGTGACCATCAAATCAAGCTCATTCAATTGATGCAGCCTCTGTGGATTGATGCCCAACCGCCTGCAGCCTTACTACGAAACAGGGTTATCAGGTACTTTGCGAAGATGGAAGATGAGCTGAGGTGAGCTACAGGCAACATCCCTCCTACGAGCTCAGCGCGTCATCGAAGCTGTCTAGCCCAAATTTAGCCCAAGTTCTCTCTTCGGAGTGTACTCCGCAGTACTACACACAAAGTAGAAATTCGGGGAACGTCCACTCTGAATGAGTATGTGATGTGTTGGAAAAAAACTCTATTCACAAGTGGTCCCCAACCTCCCTTCGGTGATGCCCAGCCAGGTCACTGAATCCACTTTTGGGCTTTGGAGTTTTCGAATGCTTGCCCAAGACTCCATAATTACAGAGCGTACGAAGGTTGAAATTCTGGGAGGCATTGGCCATGAGCAGAAAGAAATCATTATTACTGGTGAATGAAACTGGGATCTTGGAAGTACTTCACGGATCTCAAGATCGGAGTGAAAATGACGTCGAAGGGAGCTAGATGGGGGCCCGGGGGTGCCAGTTTGCTGTTTGCGGAGTGCCTGGGTGTGAGCGGCCCTCCACGCCCCCTTCACCGTTCCCGCTTCGCATCGGACTCGGCCGGAAAATGTGGGAGACCGGCGCTGGGCTTCGGCTTCGGGTGTGATGAGCCGTGATCGGGCAGAGGTGGGGGTGATGAGAGCCGACCTGGGCCTGTAGAGGAGAGACTCGGAGCATCGGCTGCCAGCTGCAGTAGTAGAGGAGGACCCTGCTCCTCCAGCAGCGAAGTTGCCGTCTCAACGGAAACCTCGAGTCATATTCTTAAGTTGATCAAATAGGGGTTCATGGAGATAAGTAGACTAGATCAAGGCAAGGGGGAGGCTTTCAGTAAAGGATTATCTGAATCTCATGGTGGAACTGGTGGTGATGATGGCTTCACAACCCGTTGACGCACCACACATTTTCCACAGCAACGATGCGCGCAGCAGCGGGGGGAAAAGTCACTAGCTCAGGTCGGTTGCTATGGAAAGTGAGACGAGACTTGGTAGCTGCACCAGAAGCTTTCCCCCCAAAAGCAGAAGAGAACAGAAAAAAAGGAAGAAGACCAGACGAACTACATTAGCGGCTTTCTATTGTTCCCAAGAGAAGCGAAGAGAAAAAAAGGGCACTAAAACACGGACACTGTGCAACGTCAAGCAGCGCCCTTTGTTTCCTCTATTTGAAAGGCTAGTAGAACCCTAAGTGACGGGCTTTGCCCACTGACCGTTGGCCCGAGGACAGCGGACGAAACCAAACGTCTGGGCGCTAGAAACGAAACATGGCTGAAGTTCTTGTGTGGCGGCTCTGCGAGGTAGTCTGAGCTTCTTGGGGCTGAGACAGACTTACGTGTTATGCATGTTTACTTACCTGGTATTCTAACTATGGTGAAATATGCCTCGTTGTCTGAGGATGGGTTTTGAGGGTTTTTAAGACTTATCGTCATAATACATGCCGTTGCGTGGACGGACGAGCGTCTAGAACGTCTTGGCCAGCATTTGCGGAGAGTCGTAATGATGTACGCAATCCCGCGATCCTCCACGGAGGATTATGTAAGTAGATACGATGCAGCCTCTCTCAGTCTCCAGGACGTCCTGGATGCGGAGGAGTGATATGCCGACGGGGAGTTCTTGAAGAACATGATGTACTCCGTATCTGGGCGCCTAGGGTGAGGTGATCATGCTACCGGACCCCACTGTGAAGGGTGATCTTTTCAATTTGACGAGATCGCGAATTCTTCTTTATGTGTTTAAAAGCTTAAAAGATGAGCGACGGGCCGATCGATCCGCTGTGGTTCTTTTGAATTCTCGTGCTTCTATTTTGGTGCCGCGGGGGAAGGACGGGTAGTCGTCAGCGTTCAGCTCTTGGCGTGAAGGCCTCTGGAGCCGTAGAGCCAGAGATGATGTCGTGAACGCGGAAGTTGAACCTTTGTGATTGGTGGTTTCGGGCTTCTCTGGGGAATGCTTCACGTTGACGGGCCTGGTTGTTTCGCCTTTAATCCCATTGTGAATCTCTCATTGGGGCGGCGTTTTGGCGAGTTGGGGCCCATTGAGCGCGTCAGCCAGTGAGGCTCAGTCCGGGATGATGTGCATGTACCCTGCTTGCAGCTGCGGGCCATGGCTAAAGCTGGAGAGGGCCTGTAATATGGGAGGTCCGCAGCAGAACTTCTCGCGTACGGATAGAGTGGTCTTGGAGCCGAAGACGCGGATTGAGTTTCGTTCAACTCCGCGGATAGGAACGAAGATGTCGAACTCAAAGGAAATTTGGAAATGTTGTGGGCGAACGCACTGGTAAGGTGATAAGCGGTGGCAATCATAGCTCAGAGACGTCAGACTTGTAGGTATAGCTGCCTCAGTCGAGACACCAACCACCTGTTCACTTGGAGAACCATCTGATAGCCTGCAAGCGGTGCAGTGACAGCGCAGAGTTATGCAACGGTCTCAATCTCATGTTTCAACTTTTTGACCACGTCGTCTGCATCGGTCTGTGGTCTCGTTGCTGTACTTCGCACGCGTTTTTCCCGTACTGTGCCCACGGGCGATGGAGCGAGTCACGGCTTTGGGCCCAATCCTCGATATTCCGTGAGAAGTAGAGTAATCCGAGTGGCACAGTTGGAGAATGCCATATTGGCCTCTCCTCTTTGTCACCTTAAACCCCTCCCCTGCTGCCAGCGGAGCAGACACGGGAAGCAATTGATGGGGGCTCGGGTAGCATCTTCGACATGGCTTGTCGTCAAGCGAGGCGAGATGGCCGGCGGTAAAGACGATGAAATGACGGCAAGATGAGAAAAAAGGTTTGGGAGGGGCGCCTTTTCGGAATCTCGAATCCTTGCTCTTCAGCTTGTGTACCCCTGTGCTACGGCACATGAACCCTGTAGCGGTCGAGGACAACCTCTTGATGTCCTGGGGTTCCTGGTATTGAAAGCCCTGCCAATCTTGGAGATGAGGGCACGAGGGAAAAGACAAGGCCTGGACGCCTGTAGACATAACCAGCCTCCCGGATTTCTCGTAAAGTGATTCGGCCCAAGATGGAGTGCCGAATCAAGAGTGGCATGATTTGTTGGTTCTGCATTTATCTGCATTCGTCTGGGGAGGTATCCGTACGGAGTATGTAGACTGCCAGGCATCAGCCAAATGTCACTCGGTGCTGCCACCCCACTTGACTTGACATGTTGAACCCCGAAAAAAAATGACGGTCTCCTTGGCTCATCGTCTCACATCGGGTCCCGGCAAAGCCGCTTCTGGCGTTTGTTTGGCTCATGGTGCCTGGATTTCGAGCTCCGTGTTCCTACACGTGTAGACGACTTTCGTACCTGAGAAGGTGGGAAAAAACCTGTCATGGTAAGAAACAGTTGCAAGCGGTTGCAGCATTTGGTGGCATCTGCCCCAGCCCAACCAGCCACAACATATTCCCCAATTCAGGTTTGCGGTGGAGTGCAGGTGGGGACTGTGTCGCCCCTCATTCGCCCAGCCACCACACGCGCGGCCCTGGGACGGCCCCTGCACGCACTGTGCGGTCCACCTCTGGTTTCTGGCCGATGGGAGTGCCTTGGCGCAGTCAAGTTACCTAGCCTGATACGCCTGGTAGACGCTTCAATGACTATTGATGCGGAACCTGTAATGTTAGCATCTTGACGAACGGATGGAAACCTTACATCAATTTAAGTCCAGCCGAACTGGCCAGACGCAGGGCGCACATAGTAAAACTTTGGAGGGCTGAGGTTGGACGGTAAACATCCCAGCAGTCAGAAAACGGGAAGGTTAGCAGCTCATACCTGGGTAACTCGACAGGTCCAGGGCTGTAAGAGGTGTCTACCCAAAGTCCTGAGCTAAGCCCAGGAAGTGTAGGTTCCAGCAAGGTACCTTCACCAAGACATTGTGAGGCGAGATACCTTGACTCGACAACCCCGCCCCACTTCCCTCCAATTGGCATGGTCTTTTTGCAAGTTCCATGTCGCCCGCCGCCAAAAACAATCCTGGAGCGACATCATTCATCACCCGCCAACGTCGCACCGCACCTGCTCAGCTCCGGCCGTGTCGCTCCCACCACCACCACACTCTCGGTGTCTTTTCATCTCACACGCTCTCTCACGCTTCCACCTCTTTTCTCCTCCTCCACCTCATCCGCTGCCGCTGTCATTCATTCCTCGCCTGAAGCGTTGATTCACGTTTGACTACGTCCTCGCTTTCCTTTCCTTCTCGTTATTCGTCATCAAGATCTTCATCTTTTGTTTATCGACTTGCTACCGGTGCGCTCCACCATCATATCTGCTTTCCTCGACATCGATTGTTTTGATACCCGTCTTCAAAGGCTCCTCAACCCACATGTAAATAGCTTCTATCAGAAGAGCTATTCTTTCTCGCTTCTGGGGCTCATCGGCAGCCCTGGTTTATTGCCTTTCCCCCGACTTCACATCATCACAGCGGATTTGAACTTGTAAACAAACCACTTATTACAACAGCGCAGCAAACAGCAACCGCCAAAACACCGCAGCTATGGCGGCACCCAAATCCAAAGTTCACCCTCTCAATGGCATGCACACGGCCGGAATCTTCGCCGACCCCACCGTTGACGGTCCCTTGATTGGAACTTTAGTCGCTATTGTCGACCGCGCAAAGAATCTGCCCAACCGCAAAACCATTGGAAAGCAAGATCCCTACTGCGCCGCCCGCCTCGGCAAGGAAGCAAAGCGGACCACGACAGATATTCGAGGAGGCCAAACCCCCAGATGGTAACTTTTTTTGCCTCTTCTCTCCACTAAGTCGTTCTCTCTACAATTGACAACCTACTAACACTGACTTCTCAGGGACCAAGAGCTTCGTTTCGCCGTACACGACTCACCAGATTACTACCAGCTCAAGGTGTCCGTATTTCACGACGACAAGAAAACGGATCTCATCGGAGAGACATGGATCGACCTCAAGGACATCATCGTACCGGGCGGAGGCCAGAACGACATCTGGCGCAACCTGGCGTTCAAGGGCAAATACGCTGGCGAGGTCCGCATGGAGATCACGTACTATGACCAGCGACCGAAACCCGAGAAGCCAGTTGCGAAGCCTAAGCCAGTCGAGGCAGAGCCGACCGAGAACTACGGCGGTACCATTCCCCGAAAGCAGATTAAGCGACGACCACTGCCATCTGATCCCTTCACGGGTGAAGCACCCGCTGGCCCGGCTCCGGATCTGGCGCCAACCCCGCCTCGAGCCGGAGGTCCCAGAGGGCCCAAGGAAATGAGCATTCCTACGCCAACAGGTTCAGAGATCAGTCTTTCGGGGTCCCGACCAATGCCCAAGGGCCCCAAACAGCAACAGCCCGCACAGATACCTACGCAATCGCCGTTGCAAGCCATCGAGTACAACACCAGCCCCGCTCCAGATGCTTGGTCTAGCCAACAAGACGTGCACGCGCACTCGCCCCAAGGTGCCTTGCCACCTTTGGAAACTACACCTCAGCACACGCCGAGACATGACCGCTACGACAGCCCCAGTTCCCACCACGACGAGAGGGACTACAGCCCGAGATACTCATCTCAGGACATTGTCAACCAAGCTCACTACCGTCAAGGCTCCGAGCCACCACGTGATATGCTCTATTTGGAAGACCAGCGCCATGCTTCGCCTGCAGAGGACGATCGACCGCCACCTCCACCCGCTCACAGAAGTCGGCACAATAGCGGAAACTCACAAGACATGGTCGTGAGGGGTGCCTATGACACTCCTCCCAAACCAGCTAATGCCATGAGGCAAGATGTACTCAGAAACGAGGCTCATCGTGCGTCCGTTTCTACGGCAGCATACCCTGGACGCCCCACATACCGTGGCTTTGATTCAGCACCTGCGGTCACAAATGCGCTGCCAGCTCCTGAAGAGCATCGTCAAGACTCAGCGCCGCCGAGACATCACTCGTACGATGCTCACGCAGAGTATAGGTCTATGCAGCCGACAGTCGAAGATGTGCCGGAATCGCCCAACACAGCCGCGAGCAATGCTCAGAGAAGGATTTCTCGCGCACCCCAGTACGATGAGCCAAGTTACCGCCAAGAGCAAATCCAGCCGCCACCGCAGCAGCAGCAGCAGCATCATCATCAGTCGACCGAGATGACTCGGCGCCGAAACTCCCATACACCACAGTATGACGAAATGGGATACGACCAGGGATACGACCAGGTTCCCAGTCCGGCACCGTTGAACATCAGCGGAAGGGGAAGTGCCAGCTCAACTCGCCAACGTGGCCACTCACCGCAGCCTAGCTATGGCCGAGGAGATGATATGGGTCAAGGCGGACGTTACAGTACCTCTCCACGACCTGAGTTCCAGCCAAGAGGTGATGAGTTGGTGTTCGCAGGGAGAGGCGCCGTTTCTCCTGGTCATTATAGCACATCGCCACAACCAGATTACCAGCAAGATTACCAACCCAGGGGCGACGAGCTGGTTCTCGCTGGCAGGGGCAATGTTTCTCCCGGTCACTACAGTACTTCACCGCAGCCGTACCGAGGCGATGAGATGGTTCGTCATCAACAAGCCTCCCCTATCGCCTCTCGTGACTTCGCTCCAAGTCCCATGGACGGAGCATCCTACCACTCGCACTCACGGAGCCAGAATCAGTATACCTCGCAGAGGTCTGAGCTGGGAGGAACGCAGATCACGGCTCACGGCATGCCCGCTGTGCCAGCTTCTTTGGTGCCAGGCGTCGATCACAGCGTCTCTCAGGAGATCTCGGAACGCATCTATGAGGAGAGACGTCAACAACGGCGCTATACTGATCAGAGCATGACTACCCCAACCCGTGGACGACAACACAGTGAGCCACTCGGTTACGACGGAAGCTACTCGAACCAGTCCTATGTTCCACCAGGATACAACCACCGCTCATCTGTGGCGTACGGTGCTCCTCAATCTGACATGAACCGTGGACGGGGTGTTTCGCCCAATCCGATGAGAGGTCGGGGTGCGTCCCCTAACCCGATGATGGCAAGAGGCGCATCACCAAACCCGCACGGCACTAGGAGAGGTGTATCGCCCAATCAAATGAACATGACAATGGATAGAAGAGGAGCTTCGCCTCAGCCGCCTTCACAGCACATGAGGTCGCGGGGAGCCTCACCTAACCCGCATCACACGATCAAGCGAAAATCTGTTAGTCCCGCGCCGCCTCCGTCTGACCATCGGAGACTCTCCGGCATCCCCTTCGGGCCGGATTCGTACGATGCTCTCAACCCATCGCTGTCGGCTACCAGTAGCAACGTTTCACGACCGGACCCCGATGAGAAGATCATCACCCACGATGGACGCGAGATCGACCCTTCAGATCACTTGCCTATGGACACATGGGCACCGGAGCCCGAGCCTAAGGGGCCCAAAACCCCAGCTACGGCTTCTGTCCGCTCGCGAGTGTCACCAGCTGCAACTCAGGCAATGCCCCCGACTGGCCGTCGGCAACTGCGTATTGCAGGTCGGCCTCAGTCTCAAGCATCGCCGGTCACATACGGTTCAGATCCTTACCACGTTCCGGGCACACCGCCGAGCGGAGGTCGGAACCGCTTGCAAAAGAAGACGCAGCGCATGTCTGCCATGCCTACAACATCACCGGCGGGTTCTAGTCCTCTAGCCCCCATTTCATCGCACAACTACCAAGATCATGGCAGCGACTTTACGCCACCGCGTCTCCCCAGGGCAAGCACGTGGGACTACCCCAGCGAGAACCATGCACCGCAGTACGGCAGCTCTCCTGGAGGCGGATATGGCGGCGCGCCCCCAATCCCAGCCAAGGTCCCCTTGCCTATCATGAGCGGCGCGAATGGCGACAACGAGTGGGCTTTGATGCAGGAAATGAGCCGCATCGATATTGGCGCCGGGCGCTCCAGGCGTCATCGTCACTACTAGGCGAAGTTGATACGGCGTATGAATGACCGGGGGATGTTTATACGGAGTCCATGTAATTGTACTATATAATGGTAACGGGTTACGCTTTGAGTGTTGAATGGTTTCTTTCGAATGAACTGGAAACACGGCTTGGGCTACGGGGTTGGGTATGATAGGTTGGTAATGCTGTAGACAGCCGGAATTCCATTTCTTCATATTCATAATTTGCCGCCTCCGTGATTGGTTTGTGATGACTTGAGGTGAAGCTCGGATGCACAGCACCATCTTGAACAGCTCATGCCCAAGTTCGGAGAGGTTACGGGATGGGGCAAGTCAAGATCAATCCCCAATCTAAAACGAGTATCGAGACTGGTACTTTGGTTGGTTTGGGGAAGGCCGATCCGTGTCTGTCTCGGGAAATGGTGCCCACGTCGTCTAGTCTTGCCATCCACTTCGGCTTCACCTTCTCACCTCAGGAGAAATCTCACGCCACGACTTCCGTTCATGCTCGGGTGGATTAATTCCATTCGACGCCCTTGGATTGACGAGGTCAACGGGATCCCACTGCCAACGAAATCCTGCAGCCATAAAAAGCTCCTACACCTGAACCCCTCATTTTCTCCCAATCACTCTTTCTCACCGACTTACACCACCACCTACTTTTGACGACTGAGGCAGGCCTTGACTCAACAACGCGCTCGCAACTGACAGGCTTCATGTCGGAATGGGTTCAAAGACGCCCGAAGACCAGACTCCCGGAGGCAATGGTAATGATTCCAAAATGCTGTCTTTGTTTAATTGGCCTTCAAAACCAAATGGTACCATGCTAATTGATGTCGTTCAGGCGGGCCCACTTCGTCCGGCATTTCCTCCGGCGGAGAGCCGCGCGGCGTGCACCTCTCCCGTGACGGGGACGGCAGCCTCGGCGACGGAGGCGATGACGACGGCGATGATGACGAGGAAGATGAAGTTGTCGCTGGCTCCGGATCGCTGAAGGATGCAGCAGACAACGACGATGGCAATGATGAGGATGGACCCAAGAAGAAGAAACGAAAGCCCAGAAAGAAGAAGAAGAAGAAGAAGGCTTCGACCGCGGCGACTGCTACGAAGCAATCTGACCCTCCGAGGGTGCCGCTGAGCGACCTCTTCTCTTCGGGCTCGTACCCGGCTGGTGAGGCCCAGGCTTACACCAAAGCCCGGGATGCGGCTACTGCTGTGGGTGTGGACTCGGATATGAATACCGCGCGCACGACGGCTGCGGAGTTGCGGTACCGGTCCCGCCCGCACCTCGAGGACCCGAGCCTCCTGAACGACTACCGCAAGGCCGCCGAGGTCCATCGGCAGGTCCGGCAGTGGGTTCAGGACACGGTGAAGCCCGGTAAGCAGACTCTGCTCGAGATCGCTACTGGGATCGAGGACGGCGTGAGGAGTTTGCTGGGGAACCAGGGGTTGGAGGTGGGTGATGCGTTGAAGGCTGGTATGGGGTTCCCTACGGGACTTTGTCTTAACCACGAGGTTGCGCATTACACGCCGAACCCGGGGCAGAAGGATGTGGTGTTGAAGTATGAGGACGTGATGAAGGTTGATTTTGGGGTGCATGTGAATGGATGGATTGTGGATAGTGCGTTTACGATGAGTTTTGATCCGGCGTGGGATAGTTTGTTGGCTGGGGTTAGGGCTGCTACGGAGAGTGGGATCAAGGTTCGTGTTCTCTCTACTGCTTTCACTTACGATCTGCTTGGGGAAGGGAAGAAAGTGTAGGCTAACGGGGATGTGTTACAGGCCGCCGGTATCGACGTCCGCATCTGCGACGTCAGCGCCGCAATTCAGGAGACGATGGAGAGCTACGAGGTTGAGGTCGGCGGCAAAATGTTCCCCGTCAAGCCGGTGCGCAACATCTGCGCACATGATATCGCGCGGTACCAGATCCATGCGGGCAAGTCGATTCCGTTTATCAAAAACAATGATCAGACCAAAATGGAGGAAGGGGAGATCTTTGCGATTGAGACGTTTGGGACGACTGGGCGAGGGAAGTTGTATGACGATGTGAGTTTCCCCTCGATTCTAAAGATTCTTTGCCATTTCCTTGGTATTGTACGTGCGCACAAGGAGACTGATGGTGATGAATAGGTTGGTATCTATGGATACAAGTTGGATTATGATGCTCCTGCTCAAGTCAAGTTGCCTTTCGCATCTGCGAATCGTCTGTACAAGACGATCAAGGAGCAATTCGGAAGTATTGTCTTCTGCCGCAGATATCTTGACCGTCTCGGCTTAGATCGGTACTTGGCTGGTGTGAGTTTCTATCGAATCTCAAGCTAATACTCATAAGGTTCATTGACACGTTTTCTTTTGCAGCTCAAATCCCTGGAATCTCATGGTATCCTTGAGTCGTACGCACCTCTTGCGGATATCAAGGGATCTCAGTCTGCGCAGTTTGAACATGTGAGTTATGATTTCTCAACACGAGGCTGCCAGGAAGAATGGTTGAAGAGACTAACCGAAGTAGACCATCCTACTCCGCGAGAACAACAAGGAGATCATCAGTCGAGGAAGTGACTATTGATAAGGGACACAAGAACCAGAATGTGACTTTGAGAAGGACTTTTTAATGCTATTTTTTGCGAGAAAATAAGGGTGACGTATCGACACGTCGTAGTACATCAGGATGACGCGGACTCAACGCTCCATCGTCCAAAGAGAGGTGATTTGTTCCTACCATGGAGAGCCTCAACGCCTCCATGTGTCTTTGCGGGTGTTCAACACTGCTTTGCAACCTTTTGTTTCGTTCATTTGTATTTAGCTCTCTGCGTCTTCAGCACCAGAGCCCGTTGAGATGTCTAAGATACATGTACACTCACTTTTCCTCCCTCCTCAATCTTGACAGATACGTTGTATGCAAGGTAGTCTTCCCTCCTTTTGTATACTGCGGCGACGCCTGCCACTGAGGAAAGAAAAAAACGTTCGCACTGCCTGATAAAGAGAGGATCAATGGCGAATTTTTGTGTACTGCCTCTCGCACTATGTTGAAGAAGGAGGTCAGCAATTACCGGTCTCGAATTCCTATACGGGTTTTGAAGGAGGCTGGCTCCGTTTTTGTCCACCTCGTTTGCAGATGCTCCACTCTCCAGCAGCATTTTCACCAGACGATGGCTTCTGTGGCAACATGCCTGTTGCAGAGCGTATTGTAGGATGTTCTGTGGTATATTGACTCGCCGGGTTGAACGGGGGCTGAAATGCTTGAGAAGCTCCTCGGCCGCCCCAAAGCAGTCGCACTGAAGTGCTGACACGATACTTTCGTAGACTGTGTCTGCACCAATGTCGTTCAGAGGCATCAGTTTAATGATCTTAACCTGGTTCCCGCAAGATGCAGTATAGAGGGGGTGGCATTTGTAGTCGACTTTGATGAAACTTAATGCTTCATGGTGTAGGAGTAGTTTGACAATGTTTTCATGTCCGTTTGCAGCCGCAAGGCTTAATGCGCTCATTCCGTGTGCGTCTGTGGCATTAGTCTTCGCACCTAGTTCTATCAGTGCCTGGGCGATATCGAGGTGACCTTCTCCAGAAGCTGGGACAAGAACGTTGCTAAAATATGCAACCGTGTCCGCAACGAACATCTTGCCGAGTAACATAAGGATGGTCTGGTGGGAGATCATTTTCGATCTCCATGATGCTTGCCATCCCTTTTCACCGATTTCGACACCTCTGACGCGAAGCACTTCAATAACGGTTTCCCAGTAATGAGCCAGGATTTCGGCACCAATTGAAGACAAATTTGCGACTGCTCCTTCATCTAATAGAATCCGTACAATTTCTTCATGGAGGTTCAAAGCAGCGACCCAGAGAGCGGTTTTGCATGGTATGCTGGCCTGTGCATTGGCATCTGCTCCCTTTTTGATGAGAAGTCGTACAATGGTCTTGTGACCAGAGGCCGCGGCAGCCACAAGAGCTGTACCAAATTTCCCGCCTTGTGCATTCAAGTCTGCTCCCTTGCCGATGAGAATGTTTGCGACGCCATCGTGGCCTTTGTATGAGGCGGCCTGAAGAGCAGTTCCATATTCACCTCCTTGCGCGTTGCAATCTGCTCCTCTGTCTAAAAGGAGTTCCCCAATACCTCGATGACCATTCAATGCAGCGGCCTGAAGAGGGGTGTCAAGTCTTCCGCCCTGGATATTCGGATCCGCCCCCTTATCAAGTAGGATTTCTACAACGTCTTCGTGACCGTTGAATGAGGCAGCTTGGAGAGCGGTGCCGCGTCGCCCATCCTTTGCATGCAAATCTGCTCCCTTGTTGAGGAGCAATACCACGACTTCCGCATGGCCATGTAGGGCAGCGACCTGAAGAGCGGTGGCACCATTTCCACTCTTAGCATTGACATACTCGGGGTTCGTCTTCAGAATCTCCTCCACCGCAAACCCTAGACCTTCGAAGACACAGAAGTGGAGCAAATGAGGAGGGCTTCCATCCTTTTCTTCAAACGACCATTCATGATATATCTGCATTCCTGCATCCATATATGTGTTTGGTAGTGTGCCATCCTCTAAAAGTTCCTCGTCGCGCCTCAAGTGTTCCTCGAGGCAAAGATTGGGATGCCGTCTTTTCCTTCGTCGATATGAGCGTTCGTCTATCATTTCGTGATCGTCTTCAAGACCAAATTGAGAAAGCTGAAAGCAAACTCCGTAACAGTACCTGTGGCAAAGGAATTCTCGAACAAGATCGGAAATGGCGTCGTGATCAGCTCGAGCAGCATATCGAGCCCAGTACTGCGCAGCATACGGCGCCAAGGGGTATGAAGATTCAAACTCTGCTGGTAAAAGACTATAGTCCATGCTCAATAGATATGCAAGGCATACTCTCGCCATGGCTGACTTAGCAAAGCGTTCTTCAAAAGCGCGAAGGAACCTTGGTTCCATGCGGCCTGAAAGGAGATATTCCTTTACCGAGAAATGCGCGAGCTGAAGAGTCTGCACCGTCTTCCCCTTGGATCCGACAGTTCTAGTGAAAGAGATGACCAGGCTTGGGCAGTATATTGAAATATTGTCTTTGTCTGGCCTTGATGCGGGATTGAATCTCGAATTGTCTCGTTTTGCTTCGGGAGATACTGCGAGGATATCGACGGCATCCTCTAGACGTAGGGAATCTTCCGAATATAGCAAGAATTGCAAGATTCTCCATGCTTTCTGTTGATGTACAAGAGGAATTCTGTCCAATATTCTCGCATAGGTTTCGTCCAAAGTTGCCGGCAATGAGTTCAAAGATATTTGGAGTTCCTCGTCATTCAAGCAGTGCCGAAGTTCAAAAAGTTGGCATGATACCCAACGAAACCTTATAGCATTGATAAGTTCAGGAAACTCAAATTTGAGCCTTCTCTACTCACATTCCGTTAGCATTTCCGCTGAGGTATTGTTCCACTTTTCCCCGAGAAGACTGGTTGTTCCGCCATTCTGGCAGGTCGCCCCATGTCTTGAGTGTCGATCGGATAAATGCTCGTATGTCTTTATTGACTGACATGTTTCGCAGAGAAATCTGCATGTCCTTGGGAATGATATCTTTCAAGACACGACGAATATCTTCTTCTTGGCGACTTGTGACTAAAATATGAAAGTTTGCCCCTTCAGATTCCAGAAGGATTTTGATCCATTGTAGTAGCCCTTTGTTTTTAAGCGCGTGGCCTTGTTGGCACTCGCGAAGTAAGTCTCGCTCATCAAGCGCGTCAAGAACAATCCATACTTCGCCGGCTATCCCAAGCATAGCATTGAACCATGAGCACAAAGAGTCAATGTCCGGCTGTGATGAACTGGCTCCTCTGGATTCGAAGACCGAGTCGAGATACTCTCGAGCAGCCTTGCTCTGGCGGTAAAGTTGTTCTATGAGAGATCGGATTGCACCGTCCAATGACTGCTTCTCAGTGTTTGTGAAGGTGAAATAGAAATAAAGGCAAATGCCCTTGCTGTCTCGTAGATCTCTGATGATTGTCGAGCTCAGGATCGTCTTGCCACATCCTGGGCCGCCATACAACCATAGGGACGAACCGGGATTTGTCTTCCAGAGCAGATACTTCTTCGTGTCAAGAAACCACTGACCTGTGCCTTCATGATGTAGATTGGACGCCTTGTTGTGATCGATCGATGGGTCTGGTGCGGAAAGCCATGAGTGAAGTTTACCGGAACGATCGCCAGCGTTCCATTGCTCGACTTTCTCAAATGTTTCCCTTGTGGTTGCCTCGATCTGAGAAACTAAAGCACATGTGAGATACAATAATTTCCATTGGTAGGTGCTGTCTACTTACCTTTTCCCATAATATCTCCTACTGTCTTGGTCTGTTCGACATTCATAGCCTCCATCACCATTAGTAGCTCTTTGGCATACGCAGCTGCCACAATCGCCGCATAGTTTTGCCACCTATCACTCTTGTGGCTATCTGCGTAGTCGCAAATTCCTCTTATCACGAGACAGGGAAAGTCATTCATCAGGCCGGCAGCTTCCATCTCAAAACAAAGGCACCCTGTTCCAAGTTGTTGCAGGATCTGGTCTCGGGAAACTCCGTCTTTTACAACTGAGTTCCCGGAAGCAATGATGCCATAGTGAATCTCAGGGTCGGTGTCGGGTCGATCGTCTCTTCTGAGTTCATCTTTAGGATTGCAGTATTCGCAAGCTTCGATCTTCGTAATGCTTTGAAGTCTTGCTTCTCCAACCTGACCGCTTGAGACCGAATCGGCACTGATTCCGTCGTTTTCAGGCCTCCGTTGAAAGAAGAAAAGAAGCACTATCATGCCCCAAATCCAAGCTGTTGAAATACAAATATGGTGGTAGGCAAGCTGAGCGAAGTTCATTGAGACTTGCTTTTCCGAATGAACAGAGCTTTGCAGTTTCCTAACTTGCACATGTGTTGATGACGCTGTGAATAGTCGATCGTTCTGAGCTCCTTGATGAATGAATGCTGCATCATTACCGCGAGGTTTCGCAAGACGTGGAAAAAGTTTGAGCGCGTCGGCCAGGATTCTTGGTAACTGATTACCATTGAGCCGCTGATCAGCTTTCAATTTTGCTAACCCTTTGAGCAGGACTGCCGGTGGAGGAGCCAGCGAACCAACTCGCTGGAATTCGCCGTTTCCCTTCAACTTCCCCAAATCATACTGTATGACTCCCGAAGACCCGTCGGTGGGCCGACTAACCACAACGTCGCCGAGGCGGATGTCAATACCGTCTTCTAATCTAGGAATACCGGCACCAATGCCGACCATGAGACCGAATCGAATATGCGGAAGCGAGAGAATCATGCCGTTCGCGGTCGTTGCTGCAGATACAAGACCATAGCTTCCTTCGGCTAATGACGTGATGATGACATTGTGAGCACCGATCCGGCCCCATGAGTAGCTGTTCGTATCTCGCTGATTTTGAACGAAGTTCTCTGGTTGTTGGTGTCTTTCGTCGAGCATAGCAAGCGCGGCTGTGAGTTCTTTGTCCAGAGCAGCAATCCATCCGATGGTATAGGCCTGAAAATCAGGCAGTCGTATCTGATCGAACATGCCTTCTTCGTTGATGGACCCACAGATCCCACGCAGCAGTGAGTGACTCCTCGACTTTGACAGTCAACTCGAGTTGATCGTGAGTGGTCGAGAGGTGTCTGTGAAGTGGCATTGTCTGAGACGAAAGTGAATGCAAACAGATTAAAACCCATGGTGGATGTAGCCGCCAGCCTGATCACTCACTGCACAACACGTAAGCACGAAGCTAAGATGATTGGCCTGGACCTGCACAATGCGATGTGCATGCTGAACCAATGAGGGAAAACAGCGAGGGGTGCAAGAGATACCCATGTTGGAACCAGCTTAGCCAGGTATCTCGTGGCTGTCTCTTGCATGTGAGCCGTGGTAACGGTCATACTTGACATCGGTTTTCCGCTAATGACGGATGCACGGTTCTTTCAAATGATTTTGAATATTACGATGAAGAGAGAGGCGGCTTCTAGAAGAGTATACTAGTAGCACTATCGATTACTTGATATGCGCCGGAAGATAGGTATTCTAAAGGGAGTCTGCTCCATGGTTGGATGTCTTTAGTCTTCTAAGCTTCTTGAACAGCAGACATTAGGGGCGGTCGGAAATCCTCAAGCACTGTGCTGTTGTATGTCATAATCAAAAGTCATCGTATGTTGGTCAGAGTAAATGATCCTCAATTCTCACTTAGCAAGAGCGTCAAAGAGTGTGACCAGACCTATCAAAAGAGCTCCGGCCGTGACGATAAAGCTGCCCACAGTCACCCCAGTCTGAACGCTTGTCTGCACATCTGCCTCATACTTCAGAACCGCAACAATGGGCCAGGCCACGGCAGTGGCAATACTAATGATAGTCGGCAGCAGAACGACTATCGAAATCAGAGTGGTATCCCATCCAACCACGAACCTCAATCCCTTGAGCGAGTCTGCTTGGGCAAGGTCCCTGTAGACAGAAGCGCGTCGCAGCTCCCGTATGTCCCTACGAGGATCATGACCAGCCGGTACACTGGTTGGAGTCTCATTCTCTACCAGCCTCAAGATTCGCTGGGGGACATCGAAGACGGACACTAGTGGTCCCTTGTAAATATCGTCTGTGATCTGTGTGTCGTGTCAGTGATCTAGCTAGAAACCGTCGTCGAACGCATCATATGCTGTATGGACTTGTTCGATTAGTGGTCCTTTCACTTACCTCTACGATCTCGAATCTAATCAGGGCCTTCGGGAGCAGGACCTGAGAGAATCCGCCCTCGATCCTGTACAAACGATAGAAGAAGGAGAGGTGTTTCCACATCTGAAGGTCATCTATCTCAGGTTCGTCCGGACCTGGAAGCGGAACACGAACGCAATCGGATCGTCCGATGAAGACGGGAATGAAGTGCCCAGGGTACTTCAATTTCCAAGCTTCATGGTAGTTTTGAGAGAAACGTCGTCGACGGAGGATCGTCCGATGAAGACGGGAATGAAGTGCCCAGGGTACTTCAATTTCCAAGCTTCATGGTAGTTTTGAGAGAAACGTCGTCGACGGATGGCGAACAGGCAGTAGGTGAACCAGAAGTATGACCAGATGGAGGGCCAAAATGAAGATACCTTCGACACGAAGACTAGACAACTTGTGGCCTTTTTTAAAACATGAGCCAGTGTCTGAGAAGTAGATTGACCGGGACAATGATTTAGACAGGGGCAGAGCTTACGTAGTAATGGCCGACACTAGAAAGCAGCGATCCGATTGTGAAAGTGCCGCTTCCTATCCCAAGTGTCCTAAAGATGAAGGCAATGACCTGGACTATTAAAACGGAGGTGATGACAAGGCTAGGACTGGACCAGACAGAGTAGAAGATAAAAGAATAGACGACAATAGAGTTGCAGAATATGAGACAGGCCATGAGACGCCAACTACCGAGAAGTATGGGGAAGTATGGTGCCGGAACAGGCTGCGTGACTCCGTCGACGATGAAGGCATTGATGGTGAAGCCGTGAGGTCGCGTGGGATGCAATCGTCGGTACCAACGAACAAGGCCAATGAGGAACGCATTTCTCCTGGCTAAGCGATCAACAAGGCTCTCGATATCCATAGCACAGAGGTCGTCAAGTTGTGCCTGAGCAAGTTTGTGTTATCTGGCCGTGATGAATGATTGAAGCAGGACGAGAAACACGAGGCTGCGATACCAACCACTTCAGCATCTCTTGCCATTTGACCATGAGGCCATGGCCGCTCAATGCAGGGTCGTGGCAGGGATAGCATGGTTGGTAGAGATCACTCGAGCTGGAGCTGAAGATGGTGGCTGACATGGTCTCGTGATCACCCAATAGGATATGGTTGACGAAGCCGGCTTCCTTTCTGCCCGGTCTAGATGTGAGCTGCAACGAATGAGATCCTTTTCAGACATGTTTAAGGTCGTGAAGCTGAAAGATCGTACATTAAATAGTCGTTCAAGTGTTAGTTCTCGTACTGGCCGGCACAGGCAGGTAGACTTCTCCCAGAGGTTCAGCCTGTAGTCGCGATACATAAGATACAAAATGCGATGCTGCTCATAAACGACAAGTCTGGATTGGTTCGCTAAAATGTAATCTTGGTACCAGTATGTTTCGCCGCCGTACCCGTCAACCGCGCAACCATGAGATCGTCCTGCGCCTTGAGCTCGCCCGCCGGCTTCTCCGTCTTCGGGGGCCGGGGTGCCCTCGGCTTCCTCTCCTCGGTCGCCTCCGCGCCCTCGCCGCCCTCCTCGCCGTCCCGCCTGGACTTCTGTTCCTGCCTCTTGGGCGCGTCCTTGCCAAACCGCTTCTTGTACCTCGTCTGGTCGTCCTCGGCGAGCTCGATCTTGAGCATGCGACCGAGCAGCTTGTTAACCCACCATTTTCTCAGCTTGAACTTCTTCTCCTCCGTCTTCTTGTCTTCCTCGCCTTCCGCCATCTCGTCGTCGCCGTCCTTGTCCTTGGAGGCGACGAAGTCGTCCTCCGTCTCGATCTCCTCCTTGATCTTGACGAAGCCCTTGACGGCCCAGCCGGCGGCTTCGGGCTCGCGGAACTTAACCCAGCCGTAGCCCTTGCACTTGCCCGTGTCCTCAAAGGTGGCGACCTTGACCCAGTCGATCTGCCCGCACTTTTCAAAGTGCTGCCACACGTCGTCGTCGGTCGTCTTGAAGCTCAGGTTGCCAATGAAGATTTTGCTGCTCTTGGGCACCTCCTCCTTGGCCGCGGCCGCACCGGCGGCGCCACCGGCGGCAGCGGTCTCCTCCTCCTTCTTCGGCCGGCCCTCGAACGACTTGGAGTCCTTGATGAGAAGCTTACGACGGCTGAGCTCAGCTTCAGTCAGCGCAATGGCGGCGACCTTGGGCGCGACGTCGTTGAAGTCGACGTAGGCGAAGCCCTTGTTGGAGGGCTTGTCCTTGCCGACCTGCTTCGTCGTGGGCATGTGTAATCTCGTGATGGACTCCTTGGTGATCATCTCGCCAGAGTTGTCAATGAGCCACTGGCGCAGCTCGTCGGGGGTGACGAAGAAGGGCAGGTTGCCGATCCATACGCCGTGCTCGGAGCGGGCGGCGGCCTTGGCCTGCTCCTTTTCCTCCTTCTTCTTGGCTTCCCTCTCGTCATCGCTGTCGAGCTTGACAGGGAGCTTCTTGCCCTTCTTCAGGGCACGCTTGGCGCGCTTGGAGGGGGGTTCGGGGGCCTCGAGGTCGACTTCGATCTCCTCGACGGCGGCGGTGGATTTGCGCTTCTTGGACGACTCGGGGGATTGTGATGGCGCATCTTCGACTTCAGCTTCGGCCTCGGGTTCGGCCTTGGCCTTGGTCTTCTTTGACCGCTTCTCTGAGTCGGCGGTAGCCATTGTGAATATTGTGGGAGCTATGCGATCTCAAAGACTGATTGCGCTCCAATAACCGCGAAGGGTATTTCGAGATGTTACCAGAAACCACCGTGAGAATCTCGCATTGAGACCCTTGGTCGGCTTGGGCCCAGAAGTTTTTTTTTTTTTGTTCTTGGACCACAATCGATAAGCCGATAAGAGAACATGGGCGGAACCTGGTGGGTCTCGACCGCTCCACCCCGCCGCCGAGGCCTGCTCACCGAGGCTGACCTTGACGGGCCAAGGTCAGACGGATGTACCCGGATATGTAGCGGTACTTGGTGGCAGCTTGGGCTGCAGAGAGCTGACTCTACCTAGCGGTCGAGGAGGTTGGCACTTTGCCCGAAAATCCGCGCCCTGCATTTTTGGCAGGACTTTGAGTCCTATACGTGTGACTAAGAAGCGGATACATAGTCATGATGCAGAAGGGGAAAAGAAGAAGAAGCGGTGACTGAGACTTTTTCTCTCGGGCCTCAGATCTATGTCTCTGTCTCTCTGGGTCCCGGTTTTTGCTCTCCCTTTGATTATGCGTATGGATGTGTTTGGAAGTCATCATTTCTGGTACGGGTCGGTCTGTCTTGTTTTGATTCAGAAGAGAGCATTGCGGCTCAATGTAACCCGACGCAAATGAGGAATAAAGTGCCACCTAAGGACTTGTCGTCAAGGACAATGAGGGGCACCCACTTTGTGGCCGGGGGGGGGGGGGGAGTTCCAGGTTCTTTGCCATCAAGGGACGCTGAAGAAGGTTAGAGGGGTTGGAAGGTGTTCATGGATGATGATGCGAATGGGGCCACCCGCGACCCGCTTACTTTACTTTACCTAAAGTGCTTTTTTGCTTGGGTATCCGTAGAGAGTTGAGATGAGCATCCATTGGCTTGTCGACGCCGCCGAACTCTGTCTGACAAGCCATATTCAATCATTACCGAAGGTTATTGTGCTTTGACAGTTCGCACCCACTTGAGATATTACCCTAGAATAAGGTGCTCTACTTCCGGTGAGGGTGCGAGGTATCAAACTCAGCTGAAAAGGAGGCTGAAGAGAAGAGAGAGTGGAGAGTTGTACCGGAAACTTGTGACTAGTAAGCCAAGGTACCTTGTCTTCAGAGTGAGACTCCCGACTCAAGAGGGAGACAGGGAGAGGGAAAAAAATAGTCAGAGACAGCCCCCCACCAGTGGTAGAGGCGCCAACGCCGCCGGATTGGCGCCCTCCATCATCCACTCACGTGCGGGCGATTCCCGACGAATGAGATCCGCCAGTCGTCCAGACGAAACCGCCCAGTGGCCGCCATCCCGCTGCCCCCCCTGTCACAACAACTCGCAGAGTGCAGGAGTGACAACCAATGCCGCCTCGGTAAGGTGTGGTCGTGTGCCTTCTCAAGGTACCGTAAGTATCTGTACATTCCTGCAATTGGTGGATGGTGCCTGCTGTTTCGGCATAGGGCATCCATCGGGCCCTTGACCGCTTCTGTTTAATATTACAGGCGGCTTGCAGCAGCTCGACCCAGCGACGCTACATCCTCTTTCTCTAGGTACCTTACTGTAGGTTCCTCTCTCTACTTACTCCGTAGTACGCGGACATCTGCAAGCTACTGTGAACGCAGTCCAATCCCTAGCACATCTCTGGATCTATATTCGTACCCAAGCCCTTTTCGAGCATTCCTCTTTACTCGGGTAGCCTGTAGGCCTGCAGCTCGGCACAGAGAGTGGGTTAGGTGGGCATCCCATCCAGCCAACGCACGTTGCTTAGCTGGGTCTAGGTGGTTCCAGCGATCCAGTGACCCAGTTGCAGGCTTGCAGCAACAAATCCCACGCCGCCATCTGAGCAAGGTCCAGCAGGCCCAAGCCTACCAGGTTAGTCCCCAGCAGCCTAGTACCACTGTAAAGAAGGCGCGAGGTGCGGTACAAGCACTGAAAGAGGAAAAGGTCCTTTTTCCCTTTTCTCCAGTCCCCTTCGCTTCCTCAGGTGTGCAGCGGGTGCTATCCCTCGCTCCATTCGCCTCCATCGTCCTTCTTTTCCTTTGCCCAAATCCTTCTGCCAACTGCTCTTCTTTCCCCTCACATTCACCCTCTTCACAAAAAGCCCACAACAATCAATCCAAACAAGAACCCGTCCTCCCGTCTTCTTCCCGACACTTACCGCCCGACCGACTCATCTTCAATCAAAGCAACTCGAGCATCTGGTCGCACCTAGATTGTTGTCGTCGTCGCCGTAATCTTTTTCGGTCGCAACCGTCGTCGTCAGCCAGAGTCAAAAAGCAGGAAACCTCCCGCCCGACTCCGACTCCCCGATCTTTCGGATTCAATCACAACATGAATGTGTTGTTGTCGCCACAACCGCCTCTCTTCCAACATCCCCACGACCCAAACCGCATTTCTCCCTCTCGTTCTTGTGAGTATTTCCCTCGCTGATGTGTTCCCTCCCTGGGCTGGCGTAGCATGGGGCGAAAGACAAATCTCGATTTTGTTTCGCAACCGTTACCCGACGACTCGTGCATCCTGACGCTAACCCTTAAACAGTGAGCCCATTTCACAACATGGCCACCAGCCGCAAGCGCAAGGCTGACGAGGAAGGCGATGAGATGTCCCTCTCCCCCCGAAGCTCTCCGTCCACTTCATCAAGACAACTTCAGCGCCCGTCGAAAAAGGTTCGCTCAAATGAACTGGTCGGCCGCCCACTCACCCTCCCCCGACTCCTGGAGACTCTGGACCCGACCGCATTGCGAACTGTTCTCGAGCGAATTTGCGAGCGTCACCCTGACATCGGCCAGGAGGTTGTTAGCAGTGCCCCTCGCCCGACAGTCGCCGCTGCACATGGCGTTTTGCAAGAGTACCAGGATAAGGTGAAGGCCGCCATTCCATACGGAGAGACTAGTGCCGACTACACCTACTACCGGGTTAAGGCGCCCCTGACGGCTCTTATCGATGCACTCCTTGACTTCACTCCGCAATATCTCCCTCCCAATGAGAACCAAGCCACCGTCTCGCTGCAATACTTGGACGGAGCCACCAAGATTATCCACGCCCTTCCGGACTGGGAGCCGCAACAATATCGACACCACAAGGAAAGCGCATATGACGAAATTGCAAAGGCCTGGGCCCTGGTCATCAACGAGGCTGCTAAGCGCGGGGGCGGTCTGAGCCTGCACACTGGAGGATGGGACCAGACCCTGGCGAAACACCACGAGATCTCAGGCGGACGCATGGGCACGGCAATGAATGCTATGGCGGCGAGCGTCAGCTGGATGGCGAACGGGGGCTCCAATGGTCAACAGCCCGGCAACCAATCCTCGGATCCGAACTCAATCCTCAACCAGCTCATGTCTGGCACATATGGCGCACCTGTGCGCGTCGGACCTTGGTAGAAATTCGAGACTGGAACGACGAAAGAACAAAATCATCCGAACGTCAAATAATAAGCATCGCCGCGACATCGGCCACGGTCGGCGGCACCCACTGAACATATCACGACGACTATAACGACGGCTTACTTCCTTCATTACTTCATTCAGCATGGGACGGCAACGGGCATAGACTTTTGGGTTCCACGGACAACTTTTCTGTCAGGACCACGAGGGGTTGGGCGGCGTTTTGTCATTTTTCGTTGATTTGATGATATCCCTTTCCTGACGCTAGTTGCGAGTCTTCCCGCGGTTGAGAGTTGGGGTGTTCCTATGCCCCATCCTCTTCATGCGGTTGACGAGGAAATCGAGTCGCTCGCTTCACATGTAGGTAGTTAGTTTTGGTTTTCTGAGGTTTCAGGGACAGCATCTTGGGGACAGCAAGCAATCGATGATCCCGCCCGCTTGGGAGAGTTCAGTCCACTCATGGCTTACAATTATTATTCATGGACACGCTGTGTGGGTTGATTGAGGACGAGTGAGAGAGAGAGGCATCTGGTAATGAGAAGAAACGAGTTCACACTCGAGTCGTGCAGAGCAGATAACGGTTTCACAGCAATTGGCTACCTCATGTGTTAGTGTAGCATGAAATTAAGGTATTAGCACGTTGTATCCATGCAGGCGTACGTGTCCCACGAGTCGCTTAGTTTGCGTGCATCCAAGACGGCACATCTGTTTCAACTGCCCACTGAGTCGGTGACATCCGCGATGGCCACATGCGTTCTTCTTTATAGCTCGAGGAAGCAAAAAGGCCTGCAGCATTGTTGCAGGTTGCACGTTTGTCTGTTTGGCGTTGACAAACACCTACCATCATAGAAGAGATTGCCCTCTGATGAAGAGATACCTTCGTACGGGCAGATTTGTATGGGTGGTCATCCTGATGCAACCCCTCTCCTCTTTGCGTGCCTGATCATCGTCAGCCTTTCACAAATGATGGGCCCGAGACAGCCGTAAATAGTTTCTCATTATCGTCGCCGTTCTTCCTACGCTGTCTCTTTTCTGTTCTCTGCCTGCTACCTTATGAGCGAGAACCCCAGGCCCGATGAGACGTCTTTTCGGTCAACACATTGGGATTACTCGTTTTCTTTTGCCTGTTCGTGCGCTTTGGTCACGTCACACCAAAGCACTCCGACCTCTCCACCCCCCTCTCCCTCTGATGTTTCTCGTGGCCTGTCCCTGTTCGACCTCAATTTTTTCTTCTCCCATTTGCGTGTGTATCGTGTATCGTGTGTTGTGTGGTTTGAGCAACAGACTAAACCCTTCTGGATGAGTTGGACTAGAGTCTAGAAAGGGCTGAAAGCCTGAAACTCGTCAGAGAAGATGCACGTCTCTCGCTGGTGGTGACGAGATTGGATCCTCCCCCCTTTCGCCGATTACGAGATGACCCTCCAACCTTGCGGGCATTTGGGATGCACCTGACATTGGCCGCGCCCTCCCACACGCACTGTTTGGCTGCTCCAGGGTTGCTCCAGGAAAATTAAAGCTTTCGAACCTCGTTTTGGCGGCATATAGCGGGGTAGGTTTGTGGAGGCTCTTACTCCAACCGTTCGCTGTTCGGACGACAGCGGCAGTGAACTCTGAGGGAATGGCTCAGGTGCCACGGGTGCCTATGTCCCCTCCCTTCCCCCCCGCTCGCTTTCTTTCCAGGTACTTTGCCGCTGAAAGTACCTGCTGAACCTCCTCGAGGGGCTAGGCCTCAGCCCTCCCGTCAGGGACAGGCAGACAGCTCCAACCAATGTTAGTGGGGGCTTATGTCATATGTCCCGGTCACATGACTACCCGTCATTGCTCCCTCCCGCGCTCGACTCGACGCGTCAAGGCAGGCGTTTATTGTGAACGCGCGACACATCTGCTGAACCACACTTCTTCAGGCAGAAAGCCCATATTTGCTCTGCCCACGACGCACAGCCTTTCGTCTCGAAGGAACCTGTTCCAGCTCTGAAGTTCAGTTCTAACATTTTTTATCCCTTGGAACTGTGCGGAAGAGACATCCTGTTCGACAAGATGCCCGCGTATGTTTGCCACTTCCCAGACGCGTCTCGTCCGCTGACACACTCTACCATAGCCCGGGCGATCAGCACAGCATCGTGGTGAACCCTTTCGAGGAGCCACAGAAGCGAATGAGCGAGTACACGGCACAGGAAATCGCTACTTTGCAAAGTCGCCTCGAGAAGCAGCTTGGCCCCGAATACCTATCCTCACGTTCCGGTCCCTCGGGCCAAAAGGTCCACTACATCACCGCCGAGAAGTGCATCGCCCTCGCCAACGAGGTATTCGGCTTCAATGGCTGGTCATCATCCATCCAGAACATCCAGGTCGACTTTGTCGACGAGCACCCGCAGACGATGAGGATCAGCCTCGGACTTTCTGTGATCATCAGGGTGACGCTCCGCGACGGCACGTTTCACGAGGATATTGGGTATGGGCATATCGAGAACTGCAAGGGCAAGGCTGCGGCGTTTGAAAAGGCGAAAAAGGAGGGCACTACAGACGCTTTGAAGAGGGCGTTGAGGAACTTTGGCAACGTGTTGGGCAACTGCATATACGACAAGGATTACCTCGCCAGGGTGATTAAGATGAAGGTTGAACCGAAAAAGTTCCACGAGGACGACTTGCACAGACAGCGAGACTTTGTCGTCAAAAGGGTGGAGGAAAAGGCACCAGCGGCACCGGCGGCACCGCCAGCACCACCCGTGAAACTAGAGACCGCGGAATCGCTCGAAGACCTGATGGATGAAGGTGGGAACTCTTGAGTGTGGCTGATAGAGCGCAGAGTTCTTTTACTGACATGACTAGACTTCGACGATGTGGACTTTGCCATTTCCGAAGGCGATCATCCCGACGAAGTTACTCTCCCAGCAACAACGAACGGCAACTCGAACAGTAGGGCTGCGAGCGTTGCCCCAGCGCCCGTACCTCAGCACATGCAAGCACCGTCTCGTCAAATGGGCAGGAGCACGTCAGCAGGAAATTTAGGAAACAACGGAAATCAACGACCACCTCAGACACCAAATCAAGCACAATCACGACCGGGCCCGTCAACAGGCTACGGCAACCGACCTCAACCACCAAACCAACCCCGCGCACCCTCGAACCCGTCAGGCCCCTCCGCCCCGTCCGCTCCTTCAGCAAATGCCAACGTGACCACGCCAGGCCAGGCTGGAAACGCCGCCGCCGAACCCATCGGTTTCTTCTCTGCACGTGCTGTACAGCAAATCCCAGAATCTGCTCTGCAGGGGAACAATGCTGACGCCCCCATGCTGCTGCCAGCCGGCCAACAAGCCTTCAATCCAAAGGCAGAGAGCCCATCCATACGAAAGACCCCCGGCATAGACCACTCGAGCTCGAAGCCGCTCTCTAGGTCCGGTCAACACGTCCCGCCTACCCCATCGCAACAACCATCTACGTCCGGCTTCACACCGGTGAGACCGGGTAATGCCGGCCCAGGAGGAGGGGCCGGCATGCCTCACCCTCAGTTCAGCCAGACTCGCCGTATCGGAGCTCCTGGAGGCGCTGGTAGTCCCCTGGCCAACCGGAACTCGTATCGGCCGCCCACGATGAAGCGTCCTTTGCAGCAAGACGGCGCCGGACGACCTGCCCTGGCTGATGTATCGAATAATGGGACGTCAGGCAACCCACCTGGCGCACCAGGAGCAGACTCAAAACGTCAGAAGATGGCTTGAGAACACGCGATAATGCTGTGATCGAGCGTGTTTATTAGTTTGCTTTGGCCTGGAGCTTTGGAGTCTGGTTTGCGAGAGAGTACTGATGGCATAATTATGTACGGAGTTTCTGGGGCTGGGCTGATTGACGTCTGGCCATTGCGCCTTAGACAATCTTATGGGACCTTATGAACTACCTTTCTCTATTATCTCGAGCTTGGGGTGCCCTTTGACATGACACTTGTGACGCCTGCAGAATACAAGTACACTCACAAGATCAACTTTGCGAGGTGCAGTTCGCAAGTAACCTGAATACAAAGTTGCCAATTGCTTAACGAAGTTACATCGGTGACTTGCAGTAGAGTCTGTACGAGTTGTCCAATCTGTCATTTGGTTTTTCGAGGCTTTGCCTGGACGTTTGCCTTTGAGTTTGACCGAGGTACGTATCACCACTCAAGACAGGATGATCAATAGCCGACGCCAATAACGTCAGTAGCAGTGGATGTCCTCGATCGCTGGCTATAGTCATAGATTACATCAAGGGTATATCGAGGTTGTTAATGAACAGCATATATAGAGTGAAATGTTGAATTATATTAATAACTATAGAGATATCGATGGAACGATAGTGTGTTTTTTTTTGGTTTATCCTCGAGACTAAGGAAACTTTCGGAGAGAGCGCCAGTTGCAATCAGTCTGCAGATTTAGACAAAGGAAACGCCTCCAATCCAACCAGTTGCAACAACGTGGGCAAATTTTGACTAAATCATATGCCCAGCCACTGCAACTTATTCCTGGAGCTTAGCTCGGCTCAACTTAAGCATTGATCTCGCTGAGAATCTTGCCATCGGTAGCTCCAATCTGAACGTTCAAGTCACCGAGGGTGAGCGTGTAGAGTGGCTGTTCAAGGGAGGGGCCGCTGGCGGGCTTGGAGAGCGCAATGTTGTTGACGGGCTCCCGGAACCCGGCCTTGCGGGCGATGGAGAAGACATCGTTGGAGTTGACCTTGACAGGCCAGTTGAAGGTTTCAACGCCGATAAGAGCCTTTGCGGTGTGGACGGGGCCAAAGTTGAGGAATCCGTCCGTGCTGACGGTGGCGATCTTGTCGTTGTCGATGCGGGCGACGACGGTGACGAGGGAGAGCTCGTAGGGCTGCTCGACGCCGGCGCCGGTCGGGGAGCGGCCTGTGGCGGTCTGGAACTTGGCGCTGGGGAACTGCTTCTGGATCGCCTGGAGGCCGATGTTGACGGCGACGTCCCAGGAGGGGATGACGATGTTGGAGTCCTTGTTTCCGGACTTGGCGATCTCGGCCTCGGTGTTGTCCTGCGTGGCCTTGGAGGCGTCGTTGACAGAGAAGAGGGCCAGGGGCTTGAGGGCCTCAGTAGAGGCGGCGGGCTTAATGATGACGTTGCGGACCACGCGGTAGGAGAAGCGGGGGTTTTGCTGGGAGACGGAGACGATGACCTGGGAGTTGCCGGTCTGCAGGGTGTCGAAGGTCCACTCAATCTGGTTCTCGACGATGCTGGCGTTGGTCAGCTTGACAAAGGCCGAGTTGAAGAAGATGTCGACGCTGCCTCCCTGGCCCTTGAACTGGTCGTTCTGGCGGACGGTGAAACCCTGTCCAAGCTTGGTGATGATGGGCTCCGTGGGGGGGATGAGCTTGACGTCGGGGATCTCGAAGTCGGCCTGGGCGTTGGAAGAGGTCTGGAGCTTGGCGTTGTTGCCGCCGTCCTTGAGGAGAGGCTCGATCTTGACGGTGAGCTGCTTGTTGTCTGCGCCCTTGATGACGACGGAGCCGGAGGGGAAGACGCGGCTGGGGAGGTCGATGGGGAAGGTCTTGGATACGGTGTAAGGGCGGGTTCCTTCGCTGATGGGGCCGACCCATCCCACGACCTCGAAGAGCAAGCCGCCGAGTTGCTGCAGGCGGACGATTTGGATATCAGTGGTGATGTTGAGGGCATTGCCTTGGGCCTTGAGATAGAGGATCTTGTTGTCGTTGTCATACAAGGCGGAGACAGCGGATACGGGGACAGGAGAGAAGTGGCTGAGGGGCCTAGGGGGCTGCTGGGAAGAAGACATGTTAATGAAGCTGAGGGTTCTTAGACTGAACGAAGAGCAGTGTTCAAGTGTTGAGAATGGTGATTAGAGTAGATGATTGAGAGTGAAGTGAGTGATGGTGAGCAAGAGAGAATATCTGATTCCCAAGTTCTCATCTCTCCTCTTATACTCGAAACCAAGCCGTATTTCCACGCTCAAAAGCACAAGATTCTCTGAGTTTTCCGTTCGCTTCGACCTTCACCGACTCTTGGAATGAATCCGTCGTCTCGATTCCTCAATGCGGCCAAAAACCAGCACATCACCAAGCCAAAATGCAGCAAAGGCGTTCAGCTCCTCGTTCCGAGTATGTTGAGCCATTCGTGTTGCCGTAGGCCCATAGCTGCGTGCCATTTAGAGTTTCACGATGTCTCTCCTGCGGTTGCTTCTGGACCTTCTAGGCGCTGTCAGCTGCATTGCCCATCATGCCATTTCATGACGCCTTTTTTTCGAAATTTTCATGATACCTACTCAGCTCAAACGGGAACGGGATCAGTTGATCGTGAGAATCCTCACAATCTCTGAGAATCCCTCGCCGGATTGAGACTAGAAGCGGGCGGGGTAACCCATCCCGCGTGGTTAACCGTCGTGCCCGTCTACCAGGTGCGTGCCGTCCAGTGTCTCAGTCGTTTCTCAGCCGCACAAGATGTTTGGTCTAGGCAATTCACTTTTTTGCAGCTAAGAGGGCGGCAAGGCAGGTTCCCCGCGCGTGGCCCGGTCCGTGGTCCTGCATGTTGATGTTTACGGTAACCCGGAACACGATGAAAACATTCCTGGCGGGGGATTTTGTGGCGTTTCCAAGGGTCCAGCTGAAATACCATTTTTTGTGTGTCTTTCTCGTTCTCGGACCCTGCAAACAGTTATTCGTCGAACACTGAACAGGAGAATGCCGGCAAGCGAGATAAGGGATTGCGTCTTATGAGGCCATTCTGAGTACAGATGGGCGCTTATTGCGAGGTGAGACTTGTAAATGAGGAAATTGGCCTTTTCAATGGCAAAATGTTGCAAGCCACTCAACGGATGAATGCATGGCTGCTGCATCAAGACGGGTAGAGCCGGCTGGGGGTGACATGATGCAGCCAGGGAAACTTGCGCATCTAGACCAAGTTTTTCCTTGTCGGCATGGTTTCGAGGTATGTGGTCGGTGGCGTCTGCAAAATGTGTGGTCTTGGGCATGGTCGAGGATCCGTCCCATTCATGGATTGAGGGATTCCTGCCACACGAGTGGCGGTGAAGGGTTGAATGTGAATGTTGACAGAATCTTGGTACATGAAAGTAATCTGAACTTTCGATGCTCGTGCTGCATGAAAATTGAGGGCATCGTGCCAAGTATCCAGAAGGACAAGGAGAAGGGCGCATAGTGACATTCAGTCTTGAGCGCCTAATCCCTGCAGTCATGAAATTTGCCACATGTGTGTAAATCAGAGTGGCGGCTGCTTTCTGAAACCTACAACATGCCATTGGATAATGTTGCTTGCCTTCAAATGCATTTCAAACTTGACGTACAGTTAACATAGTACAGAACTCCGTTCGTGTAGGTGTTATGAGGATCGAAACCCTGTAAGACCAAAATTGTTTGCTTGTCACTTTTGTGGCATTTGCATTGATTCTGTGACAAGTTTGCTGGAAGCTGACCAAGTATTAAACTTGCATATTGAATACCTCGAACCTTAGCTCTTGTAACTCGCCTTCGAAATACCGAACTGCGGGGAAGGGATGTTGCCAATCACAGTCCTTCCACTCGGGGCAGCCAAAGCAAATCATAAACCATTCTAGGTAGCTCATTGATCATCATGTCATACTAAAATTAGATTCCTGGTGTGTATATTGCATAGGAATTTATCTATTTGTGACCGAATTTACTAACTAAAAGAGACTAATTCTAAACATGAAACTATTGGGCGATATAAAGAGTGTGATAGAGTAGAGATAATCTTCGGTTTCTCTAAGTGATGGCAGACATGCGCATTGTACTACAAGAACGAGATCTGATAAGGTAGGTAATAAATGGCGCAATACTATGCTTTCTTAGTATTTGCTTAAGTGGCTATGTAAACTTGTCCGAAGCGCGCATTTTACATAGGTAATAAAATTGCTTATCAAACACATTACTCATTCCAAACGTATTCGTGCACGACTATTAGCGTGAATTAAGATGAGCTATAGAACACGGGCTTAAGTTCTTTTTAATTTTTTTTTTTTTTTAGAATAGCACGTTGCCGTGTCTCGATATGTTTTGGTGATTGAAAGAATAGCTTGGTCACTAATACCCCATAAGAGAGGAAAGTGACCTTGAGACTTAAAGACTGATGATGGCCTAATATGTTCGTCCTTGAGCTACGAATCAGGGTTTATCTATTAATACACACTGAGATACTAAAGTTGAAGCTAGGAAATAGACAGAAACTCTTGTCCAATCGTCACCCATAGCGTCAGCCTGTGGTCCGGTGGCTTAATTCCATCTTATGCAAGGAGTGTCTAAATGATGAATGGTCTTATAGTGAATGATATGTTTTCAAGCCCTGAGGCGCATTGTACAACCATGACAGGGTTATTTCGAAAAGCGGTTTTGTAGGATATCTTCACCGCGTCAGACAGATCAAGGCCAAAACTCGGAATGCAACAAAGAGTTAGGAACAGGTGTAACAACATTTGCTTTCCTGAATCGTGTGGCTCAGTTCAACATTTTCATAGCATTGTCTTTGTTGGCGTATAGTAAGTGCAAAAATTGTGGTACAGAACGTTGTGTAACGCAGACAGAGCTTTCCTAAAGCGGAGGCGCGGGCTTGTAAAGACATCAAACAAGGGGATTCTTAACGAAAGGTTATTTTGTAGAGCGCTGAGGGGATTTGGGTTGGACCCGATTCAAGATGCTTGAATCTTCGACATCAGGCCGTTAAGACAAGTCAATGCATGCTCGGCAACGATCAGGCCTGCCAAGAGTAAAGATTTCTACAGCACATCATCTTCTTCGGTGAGCTGGTAACTAGTTTTACTGTAGTGTCAGGTAGTACGTGTGGGTGGAGAAAAATAATCAAGAAACACTAAGATTACCATTTGCTTACACAGAAAGCAAACTCGGATTTCCAATGCACAATCGAAACAGCAATAATGGCAACATGTCAACCACCACGGTATTGAATTAAGATTTCCCGGCCTCCCCTCGCTCCCAGGTCCCTGATTTCAGGGCCCATGCCATGACATAAGTTTTGAATAATGTACAGATCTCCATGAATATATTGTGTAACGTCCCATGTTGGTCAAGCCATGCTAGATTCATCCGGATGGACTCAAGAAGCCAGGCTCGCAATAAAACCTTTGGGTTCTGAGAATGATTAAGCTGAAAGTCCGCACGACACGCGTTGCAGAGTGCTAATCATGGGCATTGAATTCAGAAATATAAGTATGGTAGTTGAGCTTAATATCTAGCCTCGGACAAAGTCATTTTAGCAAGTCTGCTGCGTAAGATAAGTGTAGTGACTCGGGAAGCTCAGGGTGCCTCTCGCCCGGGTGTCACCGTTGGCAATAGTGCCACACCTGCTCACAATGATGCCCATATCGACAGCGATATCACTGCAGTACACACTCGTCTCGATAAACCGCTGTTGACGTTAGCCTTTGTCTTTGGTATTATGAAATCGAGGGAAGAGCGACGACTTACGTTGTTGCACAGGTAGATAGAGCAGCTGTTGGAGCAGGCCACGCGAGCACAGGTGCTGGCAGGCACACTGCAGTAGTTGGTGCCCAGGGTGATCAAACGGTTGATGGCGTTGGCGCACTGAGAATAGTACGCTTCGACGTACGTTCCTTGGTTGCAATTCCAGTTGTTCTTTGCTTTGAGTTAGCTTTATGGTCTTCTCTGTTTCAACCCAGGTGCAGTAGACTCGAAAAGTCTATCAGGAAACTTACGGTAGTCTGTCTAGCCTCCAAGCCTCCCTCAGGCTCCTGGAATTCTTCCGCATTAAAGGTAGGGTTGATGGCGAGAATCTGCTCATAGATGGAGGAAGCATCTCCGTGGAGGGTGACATTCGGACCGCCGATAACGACTGGCCCAGTGAAGGTCATCTCGGAGATGGGCAACAGCTGATCCTTCACCTCATCTGCAGTTCGGAATTCCAAGCCATTGTCTGAAGGAACGGCAATAACCTAGAGACCACAATTAGTCCGATAGCTCCGACACAATATTCTCCTTGTATAGGTTACGTCTAGACTGACAGTTGATGCCAAAAGGGCAACACCAGTGATAGTGAATCTCATATTGAAGATATCTGAACCGAGGTGATCAAGAGTGATTCTACTGCTCCGAAGCTGATGATAGAGATTTAAAACCCCAATTGGGCTTGGAAAAGTCGTCTGTCTTAAATAGTTTCTCACAAGTCTTGAGTTATTTACCTGTCGACCGAATTGATTAGACTCTAAATTCGTGTCGTATCATTTGATGTTGCATTTGCCATAAGATCTGGACCCTTGGCAAAGCGGCGGCTCTGTTGCCCTGGCGGTTCCGCGATCCTACGTTTGTCTCCATGAGGAAGTTCAAATACTCGAAGGATCGCGGGCCGCACTAGTTCGTCAGCGCCACACTCAAAAGGAGAATGCATGCCCTGCCAAGCGAGCCTACTATTGGTGACTTCGGAAAGCTCTTTTGAGCCGAATCGCATTTCTTCAGTATTGGGATTCATTCACTGCATCTGTATGCCCTCAATGCAACTTTGAAGATGACCTACTTTGTAGGCGAATACGTGGGGTTACATGTAAGCTGACTCTCGAAGGATGTGGATGGTCTCGAGAATGGAGTAGAGCTTATGTTGTGTTGTTGCGGTTAGGCTCTAGCCAGGGACAGGTGTAAGCAGTCAATCGAATCGAAGCGAGTTCATAGTCGCCTGATAGTAGAATGGACGATAGTCGGGTCCAATCGGCTTCAAGAGACGCAGAAGTTGCAGAGACCTTTGCAAAGGATCGATGCAACGTCGGAAATCGGACCATCTCGTATTCCTCTCAACCGTGGACTCTAGTTCATCACAAAGTTGAACTCAGCGAAAATCTCGCAGTCAAGCTAGAATCGAGACCAAATGTCACGGCTCTCTTGTGACGGATAACGGCTTCGAACACGCGATATGACGTTATCCTATCAATGCCAAAGACCATCTAGATCATGATCATGAGACTGTAAGACGATGGCTGGGAATGAGAAACACAGATGGCGGATGCGATGATTTCACTGGCATTGCCTTTCATCTCATTAAGATTTCATATATTATAAAGCGAACGGTGCACGCTACAGCAAGCAGGTCTAAACCATTATTCTTCCGTCTTCCCGGACGATACCGCATCCCGCAGTGGTCTGTCACTAGCGAAAGAGGGATCATTCGTCTGTGTCGTAAACTGCAGCTTCGACGCCAGCAAGTCGACGCTGTCACCAGGCACGTAGTCAGCAACTCTGCACCCCGACTTTCGGAAAACCACGTGAAAACTTACTACATAATAACGGGAAAGAAGCACCCAAGCGCATAAGCAGCCCGATCCACGTATCTCGTCGCGGGACTACTCTGCCACACGTTCAACGAATGCGTAATCACCCGTATCGCCGCCGCCACGGCCAGCGAAGCGACGCGGATCTCCGTGCTGCGCATCAGATACCGGATGAAGCTCGTTCGGAGACCGGCCTCCTTTGACGACTTTCTGACTTCGGCAAAGATGCGGAGGAGAAAGTAGGCGCTGACGCACTCGCTGACGGCGAAGAGGCCAAAGTAGGCAATGTGGATCCTGATGATGATGCCCTGCAGGCTGTCGTCTTCCCGTAGAATCCGGAGGAGACGGTAGTAGATGATCAGTACTTTGACGGCAGTGACGAGGACGAGAGTTGACCAGAATACGGTGTGGAAGACTCTTCGTTTCGTTCCGCGCAGAAGTCTATTGAGGATGATGAAGCTGTAGAAGGGCAGCCCTGCTTCTTGAATCTATTCGAACTTGCGTTAGCAACTTGAGGCATAGGACGCAGAAACCTGCAAAAGATGATGGGAATAAGCGGGCCGACTCACAAGCCAGCAAATATCGCCAATGGCTGCCGCCGCTGCCCTCTTCGCAAGAGGATACGGCTTGTCATAGTAGGCGTGGAAATAGAGTCCATTCGCGATGGCGCCAGCAGCGGACGAGACGATGGGCACGACCGTGAGCTTGGAAAACGACGTAATCCCGATAATGAGGAGCCCCAAAAACACGTTGAAAACGCCGATTATGCTCAGCACCGACCAAGCGTGTTCAAAGTACGGAAGGCTGGGCGTTGCATCAAAGGTGGCGTTGATCGTGTTGGGCATACCGACGGAGTTCGGTAACGGCACTGGCGACGACATGTTTGCTGCTATAGTTGATAGCGCCTTGCGCATTATCCCACCCGGGAGACTGGGTCGGCGAAGAAGCGTGTGGTTTGCCCGTATTCGGGTGCGTCGTCGCTACATTCATGTAGTGATCGGTAGCCAGGAGCCTGGGGGTCGTGGCATCTGGCATCTCGCACGGGCGAGAGATTAGGTGGTATCGAACATCGCCAGGTTAAGAGATGAGAAAGAAGGGTATTCCAAGTCACATATTAAATGGGGCACTCCCGCTCTCTACAAGTCTGCTTTCGCCTTGGCTGCCAAAAACCTAGGACTGAAGGGCACGCGAATGCTTTGAAAGTTCAACCCCCTCCCCAGTCTAGTCGAAGTATCGTGACTTGAGGTGTCCATGGGAAGCGAACTAATCAGCGAACGGCGCAGGATGACCCAAGTCAAAATCGATGGATTGAGCTAGTTGTTCTTGAGAAACATTTCTCTCGGAAACTTCCCCCCTCGGGACAGAGGCACAAAGAGGAAGAAGATGGAGGAAGAGAAGAACTCAAAACAGCTTGACGGGCGCGGTTGACGCCACGTGCCTCTCGCAACACACCAGTTACCCGCAGGTCGGTACGATTCATGAAAGACTGAGAAAGTGTAGTTGATGGTTTTCGGGAGTGTTGGTGATTGGACCGATGAATCTCATGATTTCATATCTTCATCGGCAATCGAAGTCTATTTCTGCCAATGCTTTGCCTCCCAACCAATCCAGCTCTCCACGCATAGTGGCTAGATCTCTAGTGTTTCTTACACAAACATTCAAGCTGTCGATGTGAGCAGAACATCGATAGAATCAAAATGCTCTGGTGGTTTTGCCATGTCTTATCTGCCCAGTACTATCTTGACTTTTACAACTTTGCTTCACCACTTGGCCTAGAACACGGCTTCGCCCGAAGCTGTGCGTGACTAGGTGAAACCAAAGCATCCGCACCATTTGATTTCGGTTTAGGACTCCAGATCTCACCGTGGAAAGATGATAACGAAGCTGATACCGCGTGGTTCTACTGAGGGGGGGGGGGCGGGCTTTCAAGGCTCCATGTAGCTGAATCCGAGGCTTCGCAACCGTCTCAGCTACAGCCTCTTAACGCAAAAGTTCCGATCAACCTCCTGCATCTTTCCCGAACGATTCTAAAAAAGACGATGTTTACTCCTGGAGTGATGCGATCATATTGCAGAGCACTAACAGGTTGCCGAGTATCTCATCAGCTCGCGACACCAGAAAAGATCATGAGTACAGAACCGCCGATATGGGGGTGGTCCGAGGATCAATATCGGATAGGCTTGCCGACCAAAGCTCAGGATTAGGTTTACGCGGCAAGTGCTCCCGGAGCCCTCTTTGAGCCACCAACAGCTTTTTTCGGCAGGTTTAGAGGTCCAGTGCGTAGATTCTAGGATAGGACGATGCAAGGTTCGCCTCACTTCTCTCTCTTATCTTCGATATTGCTCCTGGACCAGCCCAAGAGCAGTGATGATGGGCTCGAATGCGAGAAAAATCCGTCAACGCTGGTATTCGATATGCGAGACTCTCTTTAGCCGATGCCAAGATGCCATCACAACATTGAGCTCAACTTGCGTAATCTTTTTGCAAATGTGCGGATCGCCTGAAGGGGTAAGCAAACAGGATCTCATGAAAATCAGGTCTTGTGTAGTCATTCTATATCACACAATTATCTTTCTTTTGAATTCCCTTCTCCGGTTTTTTTTTCGGATCCCCAACGCCATCGCAATGCATCAAGTTGACCAAGATGATCCAGTCCTTATCCACATCGGCGTCCTGTATCTCTTGAGACGGAGCCGGATAATATGACCCTTTCCACCTTTTTGAATGTCTTCTTCCACTGCCCCTCTCTCCTAGCCTTTTGCCTCTCTGGCATACACACGCACGACAACGAAGTCTCTCGCACCGCAGTCGTAGCTGCCCTTGCTTCTCGGCACGTCTTGTTGTTGTTTCAACCATCCTCTCTAGCTCCACAAGAGCCCATCAAATCGAGTTCAATCGTCCGGCACTCGAGCCTCTCGCGACTTGGACAAATATCCCTAGATGCCATGTGAAACTCGAAAAGACAAAGGGGTATAAACCCACCCAACCACCCATCAAAGAATCAAAAAGAAAACCACAAATGTCATGTACAAACAACACCTCTCTCTCAAGCAGATCCCAGAATCAAACTCTCCACCATACCGCCCACAGAAGACGCCGTCTGCGCGCGCTCAACCTCATTCGTAACCTTCCTCTTGAGAGCCTTGAACCCCTCAAACAGCTCGGCACTGTCACCAGCATACTGCGCATATAGCTCCACGAGCACCATGCCGACCTCGACGCAAATGCTCACGTACCGCGGGTCGATAATGTGATCGCACGTCCACTTGAGCACCGGCTGCACCGTCCTCTCATCGCGCCCCTCAAGCGCATCCCGCACAGCAGACCGGTGCCGCAGCGCAAGCAACAGCGTCAGCACGCCGAGCGGCGAGTGATCCTTCCCGCGCGGATCGAGCGCCTGGTCCAGCGCGCTCGCGTACCGTCCGTGGCGGAGCGCCTTCTCCCACGCCTTCTCCTTGGGCGCGCTGGTGCGCGCGTCCTGCGCGACAATGACCTCGGCCTGGCCCTCGCCCATGCTCTCGAGGCGGCGCATGGCCGAGGCTTTGCGCTTCTTGCTCTTGGCGGCCTTGTCGTGCTCGTCGAGGGTGCCGGCGAGGAGGGCGGCCATTTCGCGGTCGCGTTCCTTTTGGCGGGTGGCTTCGGGGCCCGTGAGGCGGGTGCGGATGGAGAGGACGCCGGATTGCATGCCCACGACGAGGTGGCGGTCCGCGCTGTCGAGCGCGTCGGAGGCCGGGAGGACGCGGAGGGAGAGGATGGGGGAGGGGTACTTTGTCGAGGAGACGACGTTCCAGCCCGTGGTCTCAAAGACCTTTACGTGGCCGTCGAGGCCGCCGGTGACGAGGCGGGTGCCGTTGGAGGCGAGGCTGAGGGAGGTGACGGTCTTTTGGTGGTTGGCGATCTGGTGGATGGGGCGGGCGGCGACGAGGTCGAGGACGGAGACCTGGGGGCCCGAGGCGGCGAGGAGGGTGGTGCCGGAGGAGAGGGGGAGGACGGACTCGACGGGGGCGGCGTGCTTGAAAGTCATGACGGCGGCGTTGGAGCCTATTCTCGGGTCCCAGATCTTGACGGTAGAGTCGTAGGAGCCTGAGACGATGACGTTGCCAGCGCCCGACGGGGAGGTGGCCGGGAAGAACTCTGCGCAGCGGACGTAGTCGGAGTGTCCCACGAACGTGTTGAGCGGGTCATTGGCGGTGAGGTCCCAGAGGCGGACCGTCTTGTCGTCGGAGGCGGAGAGCAAGGTGGTGGGCTGGGAGCCCGAGAAACGCGTGGCCCAGACGGGCTGGCGGTGTTTCGTCCACGTCTTGAGGATGGAGCGGGAGTGGGTGTCAAACACCTGCATGCGGCCCGTATCTTCGGCGGCGACGAGGACGCGGCCGTCGCGGCGCAGGGAGCCGGAGCGGGCGACGTCGGCGAAGCGGGTGATTGTCTTTTCGAGCTTGCGAGTGCGGGAGGAGTAGAGCTGGACACGGGTGCCGGTGGTGACGGCGAAGAGGCCATCGGAGGAGGTCGACGAGATGTGGGTGATTGGGTACGAGGTCGGCGAGGGGATCTGGAGCTGGTTCTTGAAGGACTTCCAGTAGCGCTGCTCGGCCGTCACGGGGGACGGGCCCGAGGGCAGCTTCACCTGCGGGAGGGGTCCCACGGTAGCTGCCATTGTGATATGGTTGTGTAGGTCGTTTGTGCCCTTAAGCGGTGTGTTCGAAGGAGGTGCAAAAAGTTGCTCGCTGGCGTGGGAGAGCTAGGTGTTGCGGTGAAGCGCAAAAATGTGAGGGTATCGTCGTGATAGACGCTGGTAGTAGTTTTTTGGAGTTGAAAATGCTGATAGGCAAAAAAAAAGATTCTCAATTGAGAATTTCTTAGCGGCTAGTCCTGTTGGAGGTTAGCGGATACCCCACATGGACGATAAGATAAGGCGCGGGGCCGGGACCTCCAAGCTTTCAGAACTTCTACGAGCATTTCGGGTCCGAAGACACTCAAGAGCTCACCATTCCACTTTTCAGATGGAATTATGGAGAGCTTTTGATATCAGAAGTTGAGAGTGAGCTCTGATTCACTGAGGCTTCGAGCCTGGATGTAGTCTTTGTGGTGTGACAGCTCAGTACGCTTAGATGGATTGCGGACACTCTGTCGCCATTTCAACGCAGCCTGGCACAACTCATCCCATGCGCCTGGGCCAAGTTCAGTCAGCAACCATCAGTTCAACGATCGCCAAACTTCACACCGTCACATCTAACTTCAGGGCTTCCATCCAAGACTCTGGATCAACAGACCTTACGCAAACGCACATGCCATCCTGATGTAGGCCACTGTCAGTCTTCTGCTCCGACACGGTCCCCTTTTGCCCCGGTAACCTGCAACGAAGCACACCTACCTATAGCAAGGTATAGGCAAACCCTCACATATATCACAGCCGCGCAATCCCATCCACCAAACAGCCACCCATCTACTTTCCTGGTAGACAACCTAAACACGCGGAGGAACTGCACACTGTACCGGCAATTGTGCATCGCCCGGGTTTTCCGACCTCAACCTCTGAGGCTGCATCTACACCTGCATCAGCTTCAGAAAAAAGTCAAGGCTGACCCGATGACAAGCACTGCCGACGTCCCGTCCATCCAACTCACCCCATGTATCATGAGAAAACTTTCACCTCTCCGAGCCGGCGGAGGAGGGATGGAGGGATGTCGGTGTCTTACTCCCTCACCGCCTCCAAATCGAAAACTAATTCCAACGCTGGGAGCTTTGCTCAACAAGGGGCTCCAGCTGTGATGAAGAGACACTCCAAATCTACGCTACCTAGGTACCTAGCCAGCGAACCGACTTAGAGCCTAAGATCATTCACCTACTTTTGTCCCTCGTCACCGGAGGATCAATCTTTCAACAATGAATGGCCATGTCTCTTTCTCAAGACCAAAGTGACGCCTTTCGTCTGATGGGAACAAGAGGCTGGGCATTTACAAGAAGGAAAAGAAAAAAACTCTAAAAAACCAGGCCCTTTCCCCTCCATAGCCCTGTAATTCTTCCCTGACCTGACCTAACCTGACCTGGCCTATACTTAGGGTCCCTGGACTCTCAGGATACCTTCCTTACTACCCTGCCATTCCTCATCAAACTCTAAGCATAGACAGACTCAAAAACGTTTCCCAGGGGCTAGGTTCACCCAAATGAGGTAAAAGGCTTGGCCAAAACCAACAAACATCCAAACCAGGAAATGGAAAGCCGACTGCGGGAAAACGGTGCCTACGGGAGTGATGGGGAACCCTGAGACGGCGAGGGGTGTGCTGCGAGGACCGCGAAAACGGAGGGGAGCAGCATGTTTCAGCTATTTTCCGTAATGAATCTGTGCATGGCTCGAATGACGTCTTGCGGTAGTTGTCATTCACACAAGAGTTGGATCTTCACATTTGTCTTTGCAGAATAGTATGGCAATGTGTTTTTTTGTTTGTTTGAACCTTGTTTGAATCCTCATTGACCCGTAATGACCTTGTCTGATCTATGTGACACGCTGATAAAAGCATATTCAATACGACTTGTCGTCGCTTGAACTAGGGTATACCATCCTCTCTTTTTTCATCTCCCCTTTACTCGGCAGTACCGTAAATAGTCTCCATCAGAATACCTATGAAGGGAATTAGTATGTTGTAGCGATGTGCAGTTGTTGTGTGAGTGTTAACATACCAGTAATTCTGTAGGGGTCGGCATTTGAGGCGGGACGGCGATCCTCAAAGTAGCCGTAGCCCTTCTGGGCGCACTCTCTGGGGATACGAATGGAAGCGCCACGGTTGGCAACTCCGTAAGAGAACGAATCGATGGAACCAGTCTCGTGGCGGCCAGTGAGACGCTTCTCGTTGCCCTCGCCGTAGACGGCAATGTGCTCCTTGTGACGACCCTCAAGCTTCTTGATGGCAGCCTCGATGTGCTTCATGCCACCCTCAACACGCATCTCCTTGGAGGAGAAGTTGGAGTGGAGACCGGCACCGTTCCAGTCACCGGGAATGGGCTTGGGCTCAACGGAGACCTTGGCGCCGAACTCCTCGGCAATGCGGGCCAGGAGGAAGCGAGCGAGCCAGAGGTGGTCACCCATCTCAATGCCGGTGCAGGGACCGACCTGGAACTCCCACTGGGCGGGCATGACCTCGGCGTTGGTGCCAGAGATCTTGACGCCAGAGTACAGGCAGGCCTTGTAGTGGGCGTCGACGATGTCGCGCTGGACGACCTTGCCGGCACCAACACCGCAGTAGTAGGGGCCCTGGGGAGCAGGGAAGCCGTTAGCGGGCCAGCCGAAGGGGCGGTTGCTGAGGTCGAGCAGAGTGTACTCCTGCTCGAGACCGAACCAAGGCTCGTGAGCGGCGTGAGCCTCCATCAACTTGGCGCACTCATGTCTGTAGTTGTACTTGTTGGGGGTGCCATCGGCGTTCCAGCATTCGGAGAGGACGAGGATGTTGGGAGATCCACGGAAAGGGTCGGGGAAGACAGCGACGGGCTTCAGGTAGACATCAGAGTTGTCGCCGGGAGCCTGGTTGGTGGAGGAACCGTCAAAGTTCCACATAGGAAGGTCCTCGGGGGTGTACTCCTTCTCCTTGAGAGTCTATGGAGGCAAATTTGTTAGCTACATGATGATAATGGAAGGCGCTATGATGCAACTGCGAATAGAGGCATGCGCGGGCGAGCTCGTGGGCCATCTTGGCTATCACGGCTGACATCATGCGCCGCGCCTTGCCGTCAGGCTGACGATGCCAGGCGGAGCTACCCCCAGTGGCCCCATTGGAGATCGTGGGCATTACGTGGAGAACAGCAACGACCCTCGGCCGGCGGCTGGCCAACCGGTTCACCGAAGACGCGCCGACGGGCAAAAGGGGGGGGGCTGATGATGCGGCAGCAACTTGCAAGACCTCCAATACCCGAGCTGCGGCGTTCAACCCTGCAGCTGGAGGCAAGGCAAAAAAAGACTTGGAGCCAGGCGGACGTGGGGTGGGGTTCCTTGCAGGATCGAGTCGTGATCGAATCCTTTCAGCCAGTCCGGCCGTGGCCCTCAAAAGAAGAGACCAAGACCAAAGCAGCAGAAACAGGTACGTACCACCCACCACCAGAAATGCGCACTGAAGGAGCAGGTGGTGTGTGTTTTGACCCCCGCCAAGCCCCAGTGCATGTCGCCGCCGCATCTGCTGCCGCTTGCTCACCCGCCCACAGCTTTTTGCCCGCTATTCCCAGCCGGAAGTCGGAGACATCCCGTAGGGGATGAATCCAGAGCAACACGACCCGCTGCCCCAGCTTTTCCTTTGATGCAACCGTCGACACATGTGTAAGAGTAGAGGCATGAACCAGCTCAAACTGTGTCGCATCGCAACAGGAAAAGGCAGAGCGAGTGACATTTCCCGGTGGAATAGCGGGCTAGAGCGTCTGGAGCACCACGAAGGGCCCGGGGAAAATATGAAAACGCCAAAGAAAGGAATGAGAAAGACAAGGTGGTTGTTGTGAACGTACCCTCGACTTGGAACGGGTCTCGCCATCAGCGTCGATCCAGATGTACTCGGCCATAATTGAGCCCTTCTGGTCAAGCTTGAGGTACTTGGCCAACTATTCGATGGGTCAGCATGATTGCTTATTCGATTTGCGCAAAGCTGACGGCTGGAAGCAAACTCCAGCTACGCCAAGCTCAGCACCGGGTATGTTGGTGTAATCTCACGGTCTCGGGCCTGGAGGTGAAGGCAGCTTCTGTCGCCTGGAGAGAGAAAGACGTGTTAGTAACTGATTCTCTTCTTCCTTCGTCTTTGGGTACCCAGCATCGTGACTCGAGAGAACAGCATAACGCCAGCACTCAGGTCGCGATAGGAATAATATGACGTGGTGGGGCAGAGTTTGGGACTTACCATTTTTGCGGTTGTGTGTGTGTAATGTGATAAAAACGGGAAAAAGAACAAGGTCCAATTTGAAGATCAGGAAAAGGTTCAAGCAGTAGAGATCAAATGATCTATAGGATTGTAACGGGAGGAATAGAGGGATGGGATGTGGAAAAGTAAAGAGCAGGTACGATAAGAGCAGTCGAAGCGGGCGGTTGAGGGTTTTATGTTTTCCTCTGTCTGTCGTCCGGCAAGGAAGGCAGGCGCGGGCGCTGGTGGGAGAGACAGATTTGAGTGAGAAAGAGGCAGTCCAGTTCGCTCGATGCTCTATTTTTTGCTGGTGCTGCCAGCAATCTGCAAGGTACCGTCGAGATACCTCAGATGTTTCGCAGACGACCGGCCCTGTTGGCGAGGAAAGCTCATGTACAACCGGTACAGAACCGTAACTTTTGGCTCCCGTCTAGGTCTCTCGAGGTCTCTCGAGGGTCCCTCTTTGGTCCTTCAGCCCAAGATAAGGCCTGCCAGTGCCTGCCCATGACGGCGGCAGGGGTATGGCTGGTTCTGGCTTCTGGTATCGATTGCGGTGGGGTGAGAGGGGTGGGCTGGTGGGGTGTGGCCCCGGAAACATGTGCCCTCCCATTCGTCCGCCAGCCCAGAGTTTGGGGGACCACAGATACATGCCAATTCTGATTCGGTTCCCAGCGTCCCACGACGACAATGTCCAGGTACTTTGCCCGAACCCAGAACACCCTCTTCACCCACACATTTCCCGCCCTTTAACCTGCCTTTCTGTGCTGCACCACCACTCCCGTCT